TCGGACGCCATACATCAGGAAACGTTCTTGCATCTCTTCAAGCGCATCGCCAGGGTGCTTGACCTCGTTCCGATCGGCCAGATCGACTGCCTGCTGGGTGACGAGCATCTGGGAGATCTTCACCAAGGCGGACAGGTATGTGGTATAGCTGCCAGGCTCGAAGTAAGTCTGGTTCTTGCTATCAACACCTAGCGCTGCCATGAAGGCAACCACAGGGCTCTCAAAGAAATCGCCACGGATCTCATGGTCTAGGAGCGCGAGAGACAGGTCCAGGCAGGCTTGGTCAAGATCCTTCATGGCCTGGCTGGTGGGTGTCTGAGTCTGGTCGCGGGGCGGGAGACCTGGATCGACGTTGGCGTCCTGCATAGAACCTGGGTCCCTCGCATGAAACAGCCGCTGGAGGGAGCCTTGGATGTCGTCAATGGCGCTGAGCTGGGAGGTGGTGAACTGGTGGCGAAGCTGGAGCTGCTGGTCGGGCTGACTCGTGCGATACGCAAAACTCAGGAGACGGACCCAGGTCCGGCAGTAGCCATGATACGTCTTGGGCCGGAGCTTGATCTGGATGGGGCGCTGCCAGATACCGGGCTTCTGGACAAAGCTGTTGATGCGCACTTGGTCAAACTCGTTGATACGATGAGAGACGATCGACTCAAATGCCCGATCGATGAGTCTTTTCACGCTCAGGCCAATCGCGACCAAGGTTGGCTCGGTCATGGGGTCCGGGTGGGAGGCAAGTTGGGCGATGTCCCGGAACGCATGCCCTCGAACATACTCAGGCCATCGGGTGAGCTCCAGCCACGGGGAAGTGTCGGTGGCATTCTCGTCCGTTGGCGCCATCCGGTCTTCTGCATCCGCGATCCCATCAGATCGGAGGAGCGCCCAGTCCACCTGGGATCGGATATATGCAGCTTCATCGAGTTCCGGGGCCGGGGCCTTGGGGTCCGCCAGCTCCGCCGGATTGGGCGTGACAGCGAAGTAGAAACTATGCGGCCCATATGGATGCAATCGCTGGCAGTACACCGGCTCCAGGGCCCGGAGTCGGAGTATATCGTCATCTGGGTCGACTGGTGGCCTCCCCGGGGGGTAGACAGCATCGCGATGCTTATCTCTACGATGTTTGCCCATAGTGCTTCGGGTGCGGCACGCGTATCGACAGCCGTCGGCAGGACAGCGGTAGCCACGATGGACCGTTAATCCAGGAATTGGCCGGGAGTCAGGGGGTGGTGGGGTGAATGGCTCCGTGTCAGGGTTCCATGGGTTCGCCTTCATGGCTTCAGCATGAATAGCTGCCCGTTGGTCGCCAGTGCGGGCCATAGGGTGTTGTCGGTGCTTTGCGCCTAGGTGGGCAATCATGGTTTTGACATCCACCACATATTGACAGGTCTTGCAGATCCATAACCGATATGTGGCATTATATGTGAAGAATACCCCGATGGCGTCCATGGTGAGAGCGCTAGTGGAGAAGGCAGCGGTGAGTGAGGTAGATATAGAAAAACACAAGGTGTAGATTCAAAGAACTTGATCTAGGGAGGCAGGGAATAGGGGTTGAACGGCACTGGGGCCGATGTGATAGGTCATCCCGGAGAGTACCTCGGGATCTGACACGCGGGTGCGGGACTGCCGGAGGTCTGGCTGACCGATCTAGATATTCCAGCGCAATGCAACAAATAGCGACATCGAGAGATCAATAGTTGGGGAATCAAATCAGATATGGCCTCGGAATTATCAGGAACACGTCGATCTGGGCAGATCACATATGAGCCCAATGCACCCGGCAAACTGGGCTTGACAGTGTAAAGATATATACTGTAGTGGGGAGACCCCCCCCCCTACTACATGGGTGCCATCCAGACTATGTGACATAGCCGGCAGTATACGGTGGCCGGATAGCCAGTTCTCGAATACACCTTCTTACACCTCCCCGACCTGACCCCTACATACGCGTGTGTTTTGTGGTGGTCTTTCTGCTGAATCGACCCGCACGTCCCAGCGCGTGCTGCCATCGAGCGTTCCCCTCTTCAATACATATACTGTAAAGACGGGGATACACATCTATACTCTAAATGTGATAATTCGGTGTGGTGAAGCTTAGGTCTGGTACGATCGTGCGACCGGAGTGTGGATGATTCTCCAACTGCATCATATAGCAATCCTTGGCCGAATGAATCGTGAATAGTCTATGGCTGTGCCCGGCAGGGTCGCTGCGGTCGGCGGTTGCGGATTTCGCGAATTTGATGGGGGCTATGATGCTCTTAAAATATGGGATATCAATCAATCCTCTGGCAATTAACCTCTGAAATCTCGACGAAAAACCTAGTCCTGTGAACTAAACCTGATGGGGGTGATTTTCGGAGTACGGCGGATGGACCACGGTCGGCGGGTGATGCGCGCTCCTGCAAAAACATCGGGCGTTTTCGAACCCCAGAAACCATGCTTATGTCAATATGGATTGGCCTCATTTGATCTGACTATCCAACCGAATTGCTTTTACAACATATTCAAATTTGGGGTATCTTTGTCAGCAAAAATGTCAACACAATGGGCCCCGAAACCCATTTACTACGGCAACCCTAAAACCCTAAAACCCTACGGCACATTGAATTTACGCCCATGGGTTGGGGTCCCGCTGCGGTCGCGGATTTCGCGAATTTGATGGGGTGTGGGTCTTCCGGGCACGCACCGTGGTACCGGGAGCACGCACTGTGGACCAATCAGACGGCGAAGAAGTCGGAGGGAGCCCTCGCTCCTTTAAGGCATTATGGATTATATACAACTTTGACGAGACGGGCTTCGCGATAGGTCTTACTTCGACGGCTAAAGTGATTACTCGGTCAGAATACTACGGTCGGAGATCAGTTTTACAGCCAGGAAATCGGGAGTGGGTGACTACAATCGAGTCAATCAGTGCTTCCGGGTGGGCGCTTCCACCTACGATTATCTTTAAGGGCAAGCTATATAACTAAGCTTGGTTCGAAGGCCTTCCTAGTGATTGGCGCTTCGAGGTTAGCCTAAATGGGTGGATAACAGACGAGATTAGCCTTCGATGGCTAGAAAAGCTCTTTATTCCGGCCACAACTAGTCGTACAATCGGTCAATATCGACTACTAGTCCTCGACGGCCACGGAAGCCATTTGACGCCACTATTCGATCAAATTTGCTCAGAAAATAAGATAATTCCGGTGTGTATGCCAGCGCATAGCTCGCATCTTTTACAGCCGCTTGATATAGGTTGTTTTGCGGTGTTAAAACGATCTTACGGAAGCTTGGTTGATCAGAAAATGCGGCTTAGCATCAACCACATCGACAAGCTTGATTTCCTAGCAGCATACCCATAAGCTCGCGCAGACGCATTTAAAACCGATACTATTAAACATAGCTTCGCAGCAGCTAGTTTAGTGCCATTTAACCCCGACCGAGTGCTATCAAAGCTCAATATCCGGCTTAGGACACCTACACCTCGACCAAGCAGTCAATCGAGCGTTTTTACACCAAAAACACCAGCTAATATAGCCGAGCTTATTAAATAAGCATCATCAATCAAAGCTTTCCTAAAACAACGGTCAAATAGCCCGCCATCGCTATCGAAAACTGCGTTAAACCAGCTTATCAAAGGCTGTCAAATTGCTATGCAAAACGGCATATTAAATGAGAAAGAAATCAAGGATTTACGTGCTGCAAACGCAGTGCAGAAGCAAAAGCGTGCTCGTACCAAAAGGCATATAGCCTACCAAGCTGGTGTATCGGTGGAGGAAGCACAGGAGCTCATACGGTCTACTGAGCCACCTATTAATCCGGTTGAATCGGTTCCGGAAGGCGGGGTTCAGACGGTTCAAACCACTATAGCACCACCAAAGAAACGTGCATATGCGTGCTCTATATGTGGTGTGGTAGGGCACAAGGCAAACCAGTGTAATCAGAGATAATTTAGTGAATTTATTGGCGTTTTGGTTCATAATAAGTACTGTGGGGTTCCAAAAGTATTCGCACCCTGGTACTTTCCTTGTTTCACCGCCATATTGCTACCGCCTACTAATTTAATACACAACACCCCAATACGTAAATAAACGCGTGAAATCGGAAAGCTATTTAACCTTGCAGAGATGATGCCTCACTGGATACAAGATATTATTGATAACGAAGGGCGGTACACAAGCTATCAATTGTCCAGTATAGCATTAATTACTGCAATCAATTAATTTTGTGAAGCATCGTGGTTTAGCCGGCAGAATAAAAAGTGGATCTTAGGGGGTCGTGAAGCAACAGGGGTGCAAATACTTGTGGAACATGACAGTAGTTTAAAATTGTAGGGGGTGGGTGGGGTGGCCACTCGCTTACACTGGCCACTCGCTTTCCGATTACGTTACAGAGACGGGTGCTTAACTCAGCAAAAAGTTTGCCAAATCTGCGACCCGCGCATTGACTTTGGCTGGTTGGTTGCCTACTCCACAGAACCGATCCGTGGTTGGGCACCCGTCCTATCATAATCAACCCAGCATTCCTGCGAAGCGGCAGTGACAGCTTCGGGTCGAATCTATTTGAACGGTGGGGGCAATAGTTCAGCTAGATCGGGCCTCTAGCAGCAATTTTTGCGGGGCCACGGAGTTTGAAGTGCAGATCGCTATCAAACCGCCAGAGAAAAGATGTAAAAGCTTGGCCTCGGAAGTAAGCCTGCAAGGCCGAGGGGCGGCGTCCTTTCCTGGGGAGTGGTACGGTTCCCCTCCAGTGAATGGTTCTGGTGTCTTTTCCAAAATCTCTATCTACCTCATGCCATGGGCGTCGCGCGTGCCGATCCATCGTCCGTTCACGACGCGCCGCTGTGGGTTCCGATCAGATTGGACCACGACTGCCGATCGACGGATAAACAATCCTTTGCGAGCTGAAAGCTGAACAAGGGCGCCGTGTCTCCACTCCAGCAGCTGGACATTTAACCGGACCCTCTGCCGACCCTCGACGCGACTGGATTATCTCCTGCGCAACAACGTGCAAAGCCCGGAATCGCCATGCACGAAGTCCTGCCCAGCAATGTCCCGGCCGGGGCGGAGGGCGATGGAAACGACAAGATTGCGGAGGCGTGGAGAGAAATGGAGAACAAAATGAAAGAGCTGGCGGACTTGTCAAGAGGCAAATATGATCCCGACCTCAAGGCGGAGACTGTGCAGGACAGTCTGGACGCCATTCGGAACCCGCGTCGCAAGTCCGAAAAGGTGCAAAAAGTCAAGAAAATCTTCAGTGATACTCTAACAGTCATTGGAGTCGTTGGAGGCATGGTCGCAGAAGCCGCTTCTCAGGTAAGGACCATCGAGCCCCCGAAGGTGGATTTCTGGCTCACCAAAAGCAGGTCTTCGCGCCCGCCGGGCAATGCTACAATGCCCTCAACTTCGTCATCAATGCCTATCAGGGCTATCAACGTGCGTTTGAATCGCTGGAGGAAATTTTTGGAGAATGTCACTATTTTCTCAATCGATTGGCGCAGTACAGATCAGTTAAAATGTCCAAGGCCATGGGCGAGATCTGTTGCGACACGCTACGCTACTTCGTCCGTGTCTGCGGGAAAGCTATTGAGTTGCGAACGTCAGTCCTATTCAAGATGGCGACCTTTGCAAAGGTCGCTTTTCTTTCAAGAGACGACTTCACCAACATGCTGGACGAGATGAAGAACCAGCTCGCTCGGCGTGAACTCATGCAGTCCACGGCCGACACATATAAAAACTCCGCCCAAGCTAAGGAATACGGCAAAAAAACGACAAACCTCCTAGAGGATCAAGCCTTGGACAGGAGTGAAGAAAAGAGGAAGAATAGTGACAAGGCTATTCTCGCCGATGCGCTCATGTTTGAAGACGGCAAGGAGCCCGTCGCGAGCTGGACAACGACTTATGAGCATATCCAGCAGAACACCGTAAAGAACACGGGCCAATGGTTGCTACAGCAAAAGCCGTTCAAGTCCTGGAGGGAAAAGAAGAGCGACACACCTGTTCTGGCCATTGTGGGTGAAGAGGCTGCTGGCAAGAGTTATCTGGCTGCGAACACCATTCAAAACCTTCGGGTCCACGGTTCCGGGGAGGGAATCAGCTCGAGACATATGGTGGCTTTCTTTTTCCTGGGCGAGAAAAAGGAAAACGCAGGGGTTGACGCTCTTGGAAAATCCATTATCTGGCAGTTCGCGAAAAGCGACGTGTCGTACATGCAATCTGCCGCAGCAACCTGCAGCAAGAAAGCTATCGACCCGAAGGACTTCTTGACAGAGCTCCTTATCAACAACCATCGAGAACTGCAGAACATCGATGCGACATTCTACATCGTGATCAACAAGCTGGGTGACAAGGACGGGAACGTTCACCCTGGAGTGGTGGACTTCTTGCGAGCCGCTGCCCAGTCCAGCAACAAGTCTGTTCGGATCTTGTTTACCGCCAGGCAAGCAACGATTGACAAGCTGCAACAGCAAAAGTTTAAGTTTCCTGTCATTTCCATGAACCAGAATGACGATGACCTCCGCAAGTACATTGACGTACAAATGGATCGCACGGACGTTCTTTCCAAAACCGAAGTCGAAGAAGTCATGAAGCTCCGGGACACTATTCAAAAGAAGCTTCCCGTGAATACAAAACGCAATTACTTCATGATCGAGAACTTCTTAGAAGAGATCGGCAATATGAATCTCGAGAAGGATATCAGAAAGGCCCTCGACGATGCCGGCGGAAATTTGGAGCGGCGAATCAGCGCCGATATCAAGAGACTCAATGACGCTCGTACGAAGGAAGAGCTGGAGGAAATCAACACGATGATCATCTGGATTACTTGTGCGATGGAACGGATGACAGTCGAAAAAATGAAGGCTGTGCTGCAGTTCCAAAACCGGTCGGTCTCCCTCACCCCGTTGGAAGAGCGCATGCGGAAGAAATTTCTGTTGTTCGAAGTCGACAACGCTAGTTGCATTGATTTCAAATCCGAGATGATCTTAAACGCCATTGGCGAGCGTGCTGAGACCACCGAAAGGGTAGAGATGAGCGGCGATCTGGTTAACGAAGGCGAGGTCGACATCCTTAAACATTTCCTCCGCAACGTGTGTCCGCCCGATCTGGTGCGAAAGTTGCAGCTGAATGAGCATTTCGATACCAAACTGAAGCCTCCGGAAGAGAAGATCTACAAAGAGGATGAGAACACTGCTCATTTCCTTTTGGCCAGGACCTGTGTCGGTGTCTTGGTTGATGCGGATAGTCTCACGTTGAAAGTGCTGCGAGGCTACGGCTCCCGTCACCTGATGGATCATATGTCTAGAGTGAACCTCGCTTTGATCGATCGTGGACTGAAAAATGAGGTCGGGATTAATCTGGTCAAACTGTTTCGCGATGGACTCGCCATTGACAATCTATTCTGGGCAAAGAGAGTGTTGCCATACTACCCATCGTGGGTCTTTGAAGACAGCACTGGTACAGTCAAGGTGCTTCGTGACTGGCTCAAGCACATTTCGCCTTCTCTGGAGAATGATCCGAAGGCAGAGGCATGGCTGCGGGAGTTTTTGGATGGATCGACTCCTCTGAAGACACTGCTTGAGCCTTCTGTTCTCCGGATGGCGTACTATGCTTTTCAGCAGTTCGAGACTGATGATATTACGGTTCAAGCATTTGATATTGTGCTCACCTTTACGTCAAAAGTAAGATATTTCGAAGCTTTTATGTGGTTCAATACTAACCAAACTTCTCAGTTTGACGTTATGCGTTTTGGTTCCCCCGATGGAAAGAACCTTACGGTGTCGGACTTTTCTCGAATTGAGAATTGGTGCCTGGAAAAGCTACAAGCCAAAAAGAACTCTCTGTGGCATTTGCAAATGGCCATCATTCTGAGTCGCAATGGTCAGAAATCTGAGGCCATAAAAAGATGCCACGAGGCAATTGCCGAAGACAAGAAATCCTGGCGAGCGACTTTCCTTCTGGTCAAACTGACCGATTCGAAGAAAGATGCGAAGGACATGCTGAGAGATCTGATTGTGCGCTGTGAAAGCGATGCTTCGTGGGTTAAAGAGCATCAAGAAATCTTGGCCGAGATGAATTATACCCTGGGCGAGCTCTACTGGGCCAGAAGCAAGTTTGATGCGGCGGTCGCGGCATACACCAAGTGCCTTGCTCGCCCCGATTCCCGATACGAGTTCCCGTTCCAGATTCTCTTGAGATATCATGAAGACCGACGATTCCAAGACATCCTCGACTCCCTTGAGCTCATTAAGAGCAAAGAGTATCTCGTCCCAATGATGCTTACGTTTGAGTACATTGACCCAGAAAAGAATATGCACTCGATTATTTTGGATGCGTCGTTGAACAAGGGAAAATTCGACATCATCGACACCGTTTACCCAGTTGCAATCAGAGCCGCAACGAAGGCCAAAGACAACCCCGTCTCATTCAACCTTCAGCACAACTTCGCCTCTATTCTTACTATGGTTCCTTCGGGGTCGAAGGAGCCAGTGCTGTCGCTTTTGGAAAATGCTGCCCACGTATCCCCCTACACTGGATTGGACCCTGCAGCTGCATTTTTCGTCGTGGGCTACAGAATAGGAACAATCTACCTCCAAAATGCCAAGAAAGCCAAGAAGGCACACAATGAGGAAGAAGCGAAGAAGTGGCTGCAGGCAATGAGCGATATCATACCCGAGCAAGTCACTGAGTCTCAGATGCGCCTCCCGCTGCGCCTTTTTGCTACCCGCTACTACGTCTCCAACGAGGATTTGGGTACGGCCCAGAAGTACGCCCGCAATACCTTCAAAGTTGCCTCCGAGCTCCTGTCCGACAAGGATCCGACAAATGACATGTTTGCCTACGCAAAGATTCTCTTCGGTACCATTCCTTTCGGGGACGTCGCAAACGCCACAACGGCTCTTATGTTGATGAAGCTGGAGAGCCCCGACCGCGAATTTTCCATTGAATGTTCGTGCGGCTGTGGTTCTTCATGGGATGCTCCTCGTGACATGTATTGGTGCAAGGATTGTATTAAGGTGGCGCTGAAGCCCCAGTGCAAAAACGACGTGACGAGCGGGAAGGCCACCCATAGGTTTTGCCACCGCAGCCACGAGCATCTGTATATCCCTGCCTCTGCCTGGGATGAAGGAAAAATGGCCAACTTTCCCGAGGGGCAGGTGCCATGGAACGGCCAGATCATTACCATGAAGAAGTGGAGGAGCATCCTCGGCCATAAGTACAACTTGAACAAATGATTGGTTTTGTCGATTTAGTGACGTCAGATTGCTGCTTTGTTTATCCTGTTGTTTTTCCTGTTTCATCCAATTCTGCTTGCAAGCTCCCCTTGCAATACCCAAGTTCTATATAATAACAATTTATGTTAAATCTCCTTTCCGAACTTTGTTCGAGTAGCTGTCTTGGTTCCCAATATCATTGTACTGATCTATGGAGCTCCTAGAAGTTGCGCTTTACAATCAGTCGGGAGCTCATAGAATCACGATCCCACATAACCGTCAGTTGGATGGGGCAGGGTTGGCTTTCATACGTTATAAAGTACGCATTAATATGGCCGCACACATCACGTATTGTGTGACGGTCTATTAAACAATGGACACTTCAGCTTGTCAGCATTACAAGACGGTCTTCCGAGGCAAATGCATTCACTTGCCTTGGCGGGAGATTACCAAACAGCCACAGCCCTTAGTGAACATTTTTTGGTCATCCTGAGGGATCGATAGAAGCCAAATGCTCTGTGTTCAGATGCGACTCTTCAATTGCTGCTATAGGTTTCGACTTCAACAGAATAGTTGTTGACTTCTTCCATGCGCAGGCGATCAAGGTGAAGGAGAATCTTATACACTCGAGAACGACAGCCGCTTGCCAAGGCTTGACACTCGTCCAATGAATCGGCATGACTCGCATAAAACTTCCCTATTCTCAACCTATTCCAGTCAACATCTATAGGTATCCCAAAGCTGGCCCCCAAAGTAATCATTCCGCCTCGTTGCCCGAAGAATGGCTTGCCCCCAAATCGAACATGACCTCTTGCCAAGATGAATACGAGTGGCTTTTTCACAGGAACCCGAGAGCCAAGCTTCGTATTTGGGATTACTTGCATATACCCCCGAGTCTAGACCGGATATGGATTAGCTATGGTAACCCTCCGCTATAGATAGCTCTTTGTATAGAATCACATTTACCTCGCGGGCATGGGTTGGCAGGATAGGAACGCTTGGCGGCTCCCTAGATTCGTGATTGAGGATTCATGACCATGGGAATACGAGACCTTTCTCAGCTTGTTCGTATAGATTGGGGATTCTATTAATTGAGTGCGGACAGAAAAGATATTTAAAGGGCTTCCCATCCAGTGCATATGGAACAACAAGATCAACAGCCTCTACAACCACGGCAACAGCAACAGCAGAAACCATCTTGCAAATCCAAATCAAAATGAAGCTCCTCATTATCGTCAATGCCCTTATGGTGGCCCTTTTCAGCCACGTCGCGCTCGGTTTCGCCATCGAGAGATCTTCTCTGACGGCCCGCGATGACAAGAACGGAACCGTCTCGACGGCCTTTGGGGATGTCGTCAGCTCTTTCCAGCCAGATGGCAAGCACAAGATCGAGTTTTATAGCGAGGGTGCTCTTGAAGTGACTGCCCTTGAGCAGGACGACGGTAGTAAGTATGCGCGAAATCGAATTCCAAGCGCAAGGGATAACAACGACGCACAGGCGTTGCATTCTATGATGTCGATGGCAAGGTGATCGATCTCACCGACATCGAGGAGGATGACGACTTGCTCCAGAAGCGAGCCTCGAAGTTCCAGCTCGCTTGGCGCTTTGCTAAGTTGATTGCCAAGTATGGTAAGAAGGCGTGGACGTTCATCTACTGCGTTGGCACTTCGCCTTTCTGGAGATGCGGTGATGAGGTGAGTGTCCGGATTCAATTTAACTGTTCCATAGCCAAATCAAGGCTCTTGCTAACTATTATTTAGTTCCTGGACTGTGCTGCCGGTGGCCGTGCTCCATGGTCGTGCCCCGAGGGTGGAATTTGCCTTGGCCATGCCATCTACAAGCACTGCAAGTGATGGAATCGATCATGGCTTGAGGTTCTCTATGCTTAGGTCCATGTTTGGGGTTTGCAGCTAGCCATAACAAAGCCAATGCTCGCTATACTGAACATCTCGCAGAGATTTCAACTATCTCTGTTGAAAATGTTGTGGTAGACAAGCTGGAATGGTGGGGGTGAGCGTGAGGCAGTTGATATATATTCTTCGGGAAGCGATGAATGGGACAATCAAACCACAATTTTACCAACTATTGTTTCCTTTTCTCGTTCTATTCCAGCCCAAGTAGATGAGCGATTGTTCGTATTGGATAATGTACATTGTCCATGACTATACTAGATGCACAGGCATTCACCGTCATCAACATATAAACAACCCAACCATTCAAACGCCAATGATAATATAATACAGTTTTATACAGATGCATGTCAGTATATCTAGATCAAGGCTTGGCCACGGAACATGCCCTCGCGGACTTCGCGAACCACATCCTTGCGGTCCTTCTTGCCGACGAGAACAACACCCCGACCACGCTTACCCATGCGGCCCAGGCGACCCAGTCGATGAATAAAATCAACCGTTGTGTGTGGAACGTGGTAGAGCACCACTGTTTTGACAGCCAAGGTATCGATACCTCGGGAGGCAATATCGGTAGTCACTAGGACTTTGGTGTTGGGGAGGCGGCGAGTGACCTCAGCTTTCTTATCCGGAACCTCGAAGGGAATGGATTTCTCCATGCGGGCTTGTTTACGTGCCAGTGTGATTTCTTCCGCAGTGGGGGGCTGGTCGACTTCGGTGAATTCCGCGAGAATCTCATCTTGCTTTCGAGAGCTGGAATCGCGAGACAAGGAAACGGCGTCGATGCCCTTGGATTGAAGGAATTGCGCCACTTCATCCGCCTCCTCACGCTCATTGACAAACACAATGATTTTATTGACCTTGGGGCCCATATATGATGTCAACGGACCGTACGACTCGCCGTCGCTACCTTCACCCGCCTTGCCAATCGACCAGACCACGTCCGCAAAGGCGAGGCTCCGGTTTCCGCGGTAAGGCTCCTTATCGATATCTACCACTCCAAGCTGTACGCGACGAGGAATGGCATGGAGGTTGGGGGTTGTCAAGCGCCGAACATCGGGGTAGCGTTTGCGGAGTTGGTTGTCGAGGCTGCGGGGAATGGTTGCCGAACAAAATATCAATCCCCGCCACCCCGTTTCTAGGTCCTGCAACACCTTACTGGGTCCGCAGCGACTGAATAATATATTCCCATATATGACTATATATATACGCTAGATTTCATGATATCTACTCTTTATTACAGCACGACCTTCAACGCTGGCTGAAAAAAAGTCAGTCAAAGTACACCCTTGCAACACCGCCGTACCAAACGAGTTTCTAGACGCTCAGCTTGAGATCATGGGGAAATTTGCTCATGTGATTATGCGTAAGACAAGTTTAAAGAAGTCTCAAGCTTACCCACGCTAATAAAAATGTAGCTTGGAGACACGGGGCCAAAAAAAGGACACCTAAAAAGGAAGAGTTCAGGCTGAATGTCGAGCCTGGGACTCCTCAGCCAAGTTGGGACGAACAGATTTTCTATCCAGACTGGAGACTGAGACCTGGCTGGATTAAAACCCAAGTTCCCGGTAAAACCGAGAGATACGAATTTCAGAAGACAGCTACAGGGGAGAAATACTCTGATTTCCAACTAGAAATCACTCACGGTATCTCAGATATCGTGGCTCTCCACCCGACAACGGTAGACGCCTGTTCAGTTTTTCCATGTGTCACTCACGGTACCCATGTGCCAGTGCCCGCCTCCCGGTGCTGTTTACCGGGGGCAGCACGGTTTCTATAAAATGGTGGATTCCACAGAGTTTCTTGAAATGACCTGATACGGATAGTTTCTTCCTAGTCTTGTTTAGAACTCAAACGAACTCCCTCAGATAGGGAATAAAGCTGTAGTCTTAAAAAGATTGGGTGGTGATGAAAAGAAGCCGCACTAAGTTTGCACGTCTGCTAAGCTGTGCGAAAATAATTTGCACTGCGGCTAATTCCATTACTGCCTTTGACTATCACAGAGCCAATTTAGCGGTTGTGGAGTAGGGCCCTGGATCATGGAACACTGATATGGGCACTACAGGCCAGCCAATTATCTCAGTTTCCACATTGGTCTGCCACATATGCTCGAACCCTTCATGAATGAGATATCCTTCTCCATAACCAAGAGTCCGCCAAATTTTAATCCGGAAATTGAACTGACTAGATGCGAATTCATCGTCGGCCGAATATTCGGTCATATCTTCGTCCGAATCTGTCATCTTCGTCCGAATCTTCGGTCATATCATCGTCTGAATCTGTCATATCTTCGTCCGAATCTTCGGTCATATTTCGGTCCGAATATTCAGTCATATCATCGTCCGATTCTTCCATTATATTGTCGTCCAAACCCTCGGTCATATCGTCACCTTCAGTATACGAACGCAGACAAGATATATCTGCCGTACAAGGCAAGGCTCGAAGCCTTGGAAATATTCTCTGCCACTCTTCGACAATATTATGCATTTTGTCGGGTTTCACTGACTGCCATGGTTGCTCGAACCATATACTTGACAAGCACATGGTTTCTAACTTCCGTAGTGGATGGGCTCTGGTCATCAGCAAGGCAGAGAGGGACAATCGAGCCTGTGGCAAGTTCAACACAGTTAGGTGCGGACAGTAACATGCGAGACCTTGAAGCGTTGCACCATCAATCCGGAATTTCAACCCAAGTTCAAGGAACTCAACATTTGGGAGAGCACGTAAGAGATCTAAGAATTGGTGTTCCACAAGCTCCCGCGCACCTCGGAAAGGAATATACCCCACACTGAATTTTTGTAAAGGGGGCAGCCACGCGCAATACTGAGGAGTGATTTCACGTCGGCTAAGCTATGGAAAGCAACGTCAACAACTCGTAAATGTCGGCATTTTGCAATGCATTCGCTTGCACTTTTACTGTGAGCAGGCGCGACTCGTTGCAGGCTAAGAATTTGAAGCCTTTCAAATTTTGGTAATTGTTCTAGCCAGTTTTCGTGCCATTCTCGCAGGTACAGGGCCTTCAGGTTTGGCCAAGGGGGTTGACCTGTAGATATAGATGCCAAATATGGATCACAACAGGGGGTTATAAGCGCCAATGTTTCGAGGCGCTGCTGTTGTTTGAGATATGGCAGTAGTTCTGCAGTGGACTGACTAGAATTATAAACCGGGTCCGGTTCCTCCAGGTGAAAAAAACGTAGTTCACAACGTTTCAGTAACTGACAAAGATGATTGAGGCTTTGGTCCATGTTTGATTTGTAGATTGTGAGAGCTTTGAGATTGGCAAAATCGTTCTGTTCCAGTCAATGATGGTTCCCAAAGAAGTGGAGAGAACACGGAAGACGCACAAAAGAGGACGCAAAATCTTGGCTAGATTGTGTCATCAAGACTTCGCAGTAGATATTATCAACGGCCAAGTACTCCACGGTTGGAGCAAGAAGAAGATCAGAGATGAACGACCAATCTTGGTTGATGATCTCGTAAGGGATTGTGAGACTCGCCAGACCCCGTCCCTTTGGTCGGAATAGAAGTTCTGCGGATTGCCGATGGCGCAGGACGCTACACTTTTCGAAGCATGCAAGTCTAGTCCAGGGGTTCACAGATTCATCAATCGCGGGTGTCTCTGGCGAGAGGAGGAGGTGCTTCACAAAACTCATGTTTCGAGCGAAGCGTTTTCGCGACGCTACAAAGAGGCTGTTCAGCGATCCAATGTCAGGTGTACGTAACTGCATGTCATTCATGGAGCCAACATAGAGTTTTCTCAAAGCTTCTGCGTTCCAAACACTGTTGACACAGGCACAGTTCAGAAGATCTGGAACCATGTGAACATTGTCGATGACCAAGCCAATAATTTCCGGAAGGAGAAGTGGATTTCGTATATCTCGAAGAATAATGGCAGCCATAATCAAGTTCCCAGTAGCGATGCTGATTCAAAACAAATACAAGTCGATGTTGCAGTGGGAAACCCACCCTTTATCTTTGCGGGGAGGGTCGCTCAGGGCGTTGACTAATCATACCCAAGGCCTCTCGGGAAGACCTGAATAGGTAGATCGGACCAATTAGAGGCAAAATCCTGATGCTCCGTAGTATATGTGACGCATTCCTTGGCGCGTGCATCATGAGTCTTTGTTGCATATGTCACGGTTTCTTGACCTTTGTCCACGGTTTTTGACTTCTGTTACTATTTTTATGCGCTTTCCTTCCATCGCTGTCGCAAGCTGGTGCAATTCCAAGCGGCTGGCTAGAACAGCCAGTAAGCTCGTTCGCTGATTTCGCTGGCTCATTCCTGCGTCGAAGTAGAGTGGAGAAATGTGCAGATTCAACTTATCAAGAATTTCATCACGCTTAGATAGCGCCGCGATGAATTATCACATTCAACGATATCTTGCCACTAGATATAGCCTCTTGAGTCCACAGCAAATACAGATCGCTGAAAATGAATACCTGGTGGCACGCTTTATGCACAAGCTGAAATACAATTGTCGTTCTTACCGAACCTTAATTAAGTAGGCCCTTGTTTTCTCGGAGGTTAAAAAACCACTCGATAAGTAATCATCGACAGTGACCCACATGCAACAAAGACCCATGATGCACGCGCCGAGGCATACGAGGCTGAGTTTCTGGGCTTCCCAAAATAACTATTTAATTAAAGTTACTACAGGTTCCATTTCTGCAGTGAATGCCTTTCAGGTTCTCAAAACTCTTCAGACCACCAAAAAAGCATTGGTCAAAATGCTTGCACTGGGTTTCCACCTTTACATTCTAAGTTCGATATGTCTATCAATAGCACATTCGCACAAGCTAAGTCCTGTCGAGAACGAACTTCGAGACCTTGTAACCCAAAATTCGGTTATCACGTGTGGTGGTATGGCTTCAGTCATTAAAGGTTTTCGGGATGGAACTATTGCCACTGTTGAGTGGCCGAGCCTTATCGAGGCTGAACTCGAGCTCGAAAGAGCGTCAGACGAACCCTTGTGGTATATGCACATGGTCGAATGGCTCGATATACAGACTGGTAAGTGTGAATACCTGTTTGCCTCGAATTCTGTGCTTATATGTGTGAAAATGCGACCCACAGAGCGGAGCTGCGGGAACACTTCTCATGGCGAAGGGTCACGTTGATTCTGCTCGCGACTGATTGTAATATTGGTTAGTATAGAGAGTGTGGAATTGAGCTATTGGTAGGTGGACCTACTTGTTTCGGCGACGCGTTAGTACAACATGATGGCCAGCTTAGTTCAGATTATTATCTCAGCCTTCAATCATTCTTTGAGTCTTCCAGATTCCATCGCCAGTATCAAACAAAGGTAGTGTGATAGATGCCGTCGCAGCATACGACTTCAATGTAGATCTAAAGTCACCTGTATCTCCGTAGAAGAGGATGCCACTTTTAATTGCCTGAGGCTGAATTTCAGCTTTAGCAATAGTCCTAAGCGTCGGAAACTGCCCAGGCAGCTCTTCAACTTTGGCACACCACCCTTCGTTAATCTCCGGGGCGAATTCAAAAATTGAATGGGCATTAGATAGTCCCAGAAATAGAACCTCATGTCGAGAGACGCTGAATAATATCACGTAAGGAATGCTTGACAAGTACGGCTTACAAGACGCCCAGAAGAAGTCCGGAGTCATAGAGGTGACGCATTTGCAAGCAGCACGTGATTGCGAGGTTATCGAGAGCGCAGTGGTACCAACTTGGTCGCTGGCTGTCTCTCCCAGAGATGGAACGACGGCTGGCTGATTGTTGGCGGTCAGTTGCGAGGAACCGAGAACAACACTATTGCCGATTGGCTGAATTGTCTTATCAGAACCAATATCACGCATCGCGACATCTTGATGCTCCGGTACATGGGTATCCTGTAGGGTATTCTGATCATTGTTCCCACCGGAACTGTCTGGCTGAGATGTTGTATCGGGCATCGGAGTATCTTGGTGTCGAGTCATATCTGTTGGTGTTATTTGTATGTTTGTTACATCGTTACCACTTGGGAATGCCTTCGGAAATGTCCCTGTCGTCTCCATATCACTGTCTGGGAAGAATGATTTGAAAATATTCCGCTTCACCGCAAACGACGTAACGCTCTCACACGGTTCATCATCTGGCGAATAGATATTCCGCAAAAAGAGATACTTGCGGTCGGAAAAAAAGTATCCGTGTCTGTCATGCCACAACGATGGGCCAGAGTCCAATTCTGCGGAACATCCGCACTTTGTAATGGCCGCGATGCGCTTATAATGCGCGGTTTGATTTGTGACAGAACAGTTGCAACATGGTTACTGCATTCGGTCAAGATGGCATGGTCATATTCGAAGAGCTCTGGAGGCCTCAGTCGGGCAAGCAGTGTCTGAATGGCTATGCATTCTGTACTTGGTGGTGCTTTAACATTCCGAGATCGATCCAGAACAAATCCCAAATGATGAAGGAGAAACTTTAACCGCTTCCATAAGTCCGAAGGCTCGAGACTTTGGGATTTGGAGGATTGACTATGACCTCGCGGGTGGATATCAGTTAACCCGAAAAAGTGACGCATTGCGAACAGAAAACATTGTCGATAAGCTGAGCAGAAGAGTTCTTCCTGGCTGTTACATTCTCTTTCATCAAAATCGTTCTCTGACACTGTATCCGGTTCTTCGGAGTGGGAATAAAATATCGCAACATTGCTTGGCGAATGGTGCCTTTAAATTTGAAAGGCAGAACTTTCTTGAGGATGTCTGTCATTGGCTTCAAGTACTTGATGTCCTCAAAGAATAGATGCACAGAAGGTATAATTCCCGAGTAGTTCAAAGCAGCCTGCAGGAGTTGTGATCGTGAAGCCGGATCGGTGACGCGTGGAAAGGCTAGGTTATCATGAAATATTTGTTGAATAAATCTTTGATCATCCAATGAGAGGCGGGGATAACGGCCATGAAGAAGTTCAAGAGTGCCCGGATCTAAGGCTTGGGAGTTGCCACATGTAAGAGAGACCCACGCGGAATGTATTTTGTGGAGATAGGCACAAAGTTCCTTTATCTATGAGTCAGTTTGTGTGATTAATCTTATTGTTGGAGGGGGATCAAAACCTCTGGGCAGTTCAAATCTGTCAAGTGGGTTCCCATAAACCAATGGATCCATAGAGCAGGAAACACAAGCAGCGCATCTAGCCTGTTTGCAAGATCCTTCCGTTTGTCCTTTATTTTTTTGGGTTCGTAAATTCGGTTGAAGTCCCGGCATTTGGTCGGAGACCATTTTGCCAGCCATTCTTGCGCCGGCTTTTCTTCTCCACGAAGCTGATAATGTCGAACATTTCGAAATATTTCACCGTCACTGAAGATCTGAAATCCATTTTCCGCTTCTCGAAGTCGATTACGACAATCGTCATTCAGCTTCTCGGAGTCGTAGAGTATCAAATTCCACCAAAGATCATTAGGCTCTAACCATTCGACCGCCGCGGCAATTCGATGTTGGCCTTGAAGACAATGGAGCTCAGATCCTTCTGGAAGCTGTAGGTCGGTAGGAAGATCTATACGCAAGTTTTTTGGATCGACCGTTAACAGTGACTGTAGAACAGACTTCGATACTTCGCAAGGAATCCAAGTGAGCGGATCAAGTCGGCGACATCCCTCATGATTGAATCGATGAATGATATTCTTAACGCGAGACTGATTCAGCACCCGAGATCCACGGACGTCTATGTCTTCAAAAACGAATCGATTCAATTCCCGGACTTTGACGGACCCCAAAGAGGCGGCATCTAATTGCCGTGCAATATCCAGATCGCTAGGCACCATTTTTTAAATGTAGACCATAAACAGATATGTTGTCTTAATTCCAAACAAGTGCGGTGCAACCTGTAAAATGAATGGTCACTGAGAAGTGCACGATATATGGCTCTTCCAATAACCGTGTTGTCTGTGATTAAGTAAGCAGCTGGGTCACGCTAACGTGATAACGTATTGCCCGAGCGACCGAATTGACCGAGCGACCCCACCAAAAATCAAAAAACCTTCAATTTTTCACCACGACTAATACCACAAAAATAACTCAAATTTTGATATTTAATACGTGTAGGGCATTTAACATAAGTATGGCCTTTAATCCCACATCCAGAGCAGGTGACCTGCCGCCTAACCATAGGCATGGAAGGTAAAGCAGGTTCTGCAGGTGGTTCTCCAGGTACATCTAGCAAAGATATATCTTCACTATCACCATCATCCTCAACAACCACATCATCCTGACCATCCTCCCGACTCCCGAAAATGCCCCTCTGGCTAGTAAACTTATGCTTGATTGCTCGTTTTTTGATCTGTTTCTTATTAGAAGCCTCCAATTGGTCGCAGCGATTCTGAAGAAAAATATGATGATGGACCACTTTTATGGTCATTTCATAGTTCCTCTCAATCTCCCGTTTGGTTGGTGAAGAAAGGATTGAAGAAGAAGATTCTAGACCTTTTTTGATCCGAGATTGCGATTTTGAGAATTTTGAGAGAGTCCAGAGAGTATTTGGATCACTATCACTGCCAGAAGAGGGTGGTCGTGTAGGAAGGATCTCAAGAGGAGGAAGTTCATCCAGGCATACATTAAGCTTTTCCAAGACTCTATTAGCATCAAATGGTGCTAATCCAGTAGCAGAAAAGCTATTCTGGATATTAGAGGTCTTAAAAGCTCCCTTTCTTGCATCTGCAATCAATTCAAGGAAATCTTCCTTATCAATAGAATTGACTCCATTCCGCATCATGGTTGAAACCGCTCCTCCATAAAGCCTCTTCAAAACCGAAAAACAACCCACATCTAAAGGTTGTAAAAGATGAGAGGCATGAGGAGGCATACAGATCGCGATGATATCATTTTCTTCACAAATTCGATCAAATTCAGGGGTTAAATGACTCCCATGACCATCAAGGACTAAGAGGCAGTATTTTCCCACTCTTTTCCCAATATTTGGGATAAAATGAGATTTCAACCACCATAAACCAATTTCATTGGTAGTCCAGCCATTTTTGCTCACAGTCAGACGAGATCCAGGTTGATTTGAATCAAGGGGGATGCGTAGATGTTCAGGAAAGAATTTCCCCTTAAAAACGAAGAGTGGAGGATGGACACTTCCATCAGCTCTAATACACTCAATTGAAGTCACCCATTCGCGATTTCCAGCTTGTAAGAGAGCTCTTTTTCCATGGTATTCGGCTGAGGTAATAATCCTTTGTGTGGTACCAACTCCCATAGCAAAACCAGACTCATCAAAGTTGAAAATATCATCCGAAGTGATACCCAACTTTTCAACGGTATTTTGGACCAAATCAAACCATGGTTTGATAATTCGAGGGTCCTCTGAAAGAGCCCTCTGATAGTCGTATTTTCGAGATAATCGTGTGGACAAATTTGGATGTCGTTTGACAAAGTGAGATGCCCAATCTCTACCAACAGTAGAGGGGTTGTTTTTTGGGCATGAAGGAGTAAATTGGCCATATCTCTCAACATAGGCAGTGTAAGAGCAGCACCTCTGGTATCCATATCCAATAGCCATTTTTCAATCGATTGCTCTTCAATTTCAGAGAAAATAAAGCGATTGTGTCGTTTTTCAGAAGCAGCTTCACGCCCATTAAGGCGGGCCTTCAAAGTTGAGACTGGTAAATCAAAAGACCGCGCAGCAGCTGCAGCAGAGGGATATTTACCATCTTTTATAGCTTTAATAGCTAATAAAAGACGGCCCTCCTGCTCTATTAATTTTCTTTTTCGATCAGACCGTTGGGGGGCATGATTATTGTGGTAAACAAGATATGTTATTTTTTGAGATGGGTTTTTAGTGGGGCCGCTCGGTCAATTCGGTCGCTCGGGCAATACGTTATCACGTTAGTTAACTAAAGAAACCGTGATCAGTTAACCGATCAGGACGGAATGCTGTTTTAGGGATCGACTTCGGAGGAAGAGAGGAGATCAAAACAGGAAGAGGTAAGCATATCCAAACCTATTAATCAATCTACCTAGCTCCCTTGCGTGGCAACATGCCGGTGAAGCGCAGCGAGCGCGGAGGGAACGCGTCCAGCGACGCGTCTGACCCCCGTTCCCGACGCAGCACCCGTTCTGTCCACCACGAGGTCGGGCCTTGTGCGCCAGGGTCCAGTGGCCACAACTACACAGGGAATTGCTGCAGAAGGAGACAATGAAGTCGGATCACTTCCAGGGACAACCAAGGGCCTAGCGCAGCAGATTCTGCATTACCTTAAACCGGTCCTACGAGCGAACACCGAGCTTCGGGTTGCAAACGCCGAACTTGGGGAGGAATGCAAACGCATGTCAGCAGCATACAAGAACGTGGAGGCCATCGCGGCCGAAGCAGCGTTATATCGCAAGGAACTGGATGAATCGCGGAAAGAGGTCCATGAGCTCCACAAGGAGGTCGCCAACCTGAAAGAACTAATCCAGTCGGTGTCAGTGAGGCCACCCACCACGTCGCCTAGTACTCAGGTCAGCAGCCCAGGAAGAAGCTGGGCATCCATCGTTTCGCAATCGTCGTTAGCATCGTCTAACACCCGGGCGGCGCGCACTGGACTGGGCCTCCCTGCGGTGGTACTGGATCTACGCTCTTCTAGAGAGGATACCCAAACTCTAGTGGACGATCTCGCGCAGACACGGGAGAGGATCTGTACTGCACTTCAGGATGATACTACAACTGCGGACGTGGACATTGTGGGGGTAAAACCTACTTCGCGGTCTACGGTGAAGATCTTTGTCGACTCTGAGGAAAGCGTCGCGAATCTTCGCCAGGCAACGCACTGGTTAGACTCCCTACCAGGTGCTAAGCTGCAGGGCGAACAATGGTTCCCCATCAAGTTGAACGATGTCAAGAAGGAAAGTGTCTTTGAAGCGTCTGGGGCGCAACGGGAGGATTTCGCAAGAAGCTTCCAAGACGAGAACGATGTCGCAGAGGTTAAAAAGATCATTTGGCTAAGCGGAAAGAAACGATACGGATCTATGGCTATATATCTGTGCCGACAAGCGGACGCAGATGCACTGCTTAGCCGTCGTATCGCCCATGTACGTGGGGAAGCTGCGTTCTCGGATAGATTCTATGAGCGACAGCGACCCCTGCGCTGCCGCAAATGTCAACAGTATAATCATAAGGAAGACCGGTGCCCAAACCCTGAAGCCTGCGGCAAATGTGCGGGCCACCACCGCATCGAGCAATGCACATCTGATATCACTAAATGTGCCGCCTGCCAGGGCAACCATGCCGTCAGCGACCGCAATTGCCCGAAATGGGATGAAGCGTGGAAAGTGATCCGTCGACGAGAGCAGGAGATGCTAGCCAGACGAGCAGAGTCTCGACACAATGGTAGCCAGTAGAGATTTGCGTGTGCTACAGGCCAATCTGAGGAAGGGCCCCGAGACCCAACTGAGCCTCCTGAACGACCGGTCACTGCAATCCTGTGATTTGCTGATGATCTCGGAACCATATGTTTTCCTGATGAACGATACTGCATGCTCCCATACACATGCTAATTGGACACCACTTTGGCCCTCACAGCGGCATTCGCTAGTCGGAGGGCTGAGGCCGCACCGGAGCATGATCTGGGCGAACAAAAGGACATTCCCGCACAGACAGATCGACGTTGCCTCAGCCGACATTGTCGCCGTAGTGCTATTTACGCCCTCGCCAACTCTAACAGTATCAGTATATATTCCGCCAGGAAAAGGGTGCGAAGGAACTAGGACACTAACTCAAGGGCTGGATGCAATCCGGGAAGCCTATCATCGAGTCCAGAGCGAGTACGGGGACAACATTGACATTCTCATTGTGGGAGACTTTAACCGCCACGACCAGCTCTGGGGAGGAAACCAAGTGGCCACGCGGAACCGCCAGGGTGAAGCGGAACCAATTGTGCTCCTCATGGCGGACTGGGGCTTAACAAGCTTACTGCCCCGAGGGATCTTTACCCGGGAGGAAGGCCCATATCGGTCGACCATCGATCTTGTCCTTGCGTCAACGGACCTGAGCAGGCGGGTCGCGCGGTGTCGCATCCACCCTGTTGAACATGGGTCAGACCACCGTGCAATTGAAACAACCTTCCAGAGCGAAGCACAACCAACGCCTCCCCCGACAACCCGCTTCTCATTCCGCGAAGCTCCATGGGCCGACATCAACAGGGAGTTAAGAGACCTAGAGACGGAGATCACAGATATCACCGACCGCTCGGAACTAGACGCGACTGCAGGGCACTTGACTCGCAGGGTAAGCGCAGCAATTCGCCAGCTAGTCCCGGTTGTGCGGCCATCCCCATACGGCAAGCGATGGTGGACTTCGGAGTTAACGGCATTGCGAAACACGTACACATGGGCCCGAAATCGATGCACGCAAGCTCGGCGGTATGGAGTCGACCCTACGGCGCTGGAAGACACGGCATTGTATCTACGGAGACAGTACCACCGAGCAATTCGTGACACCAAACGACGGTATTGGAGAGAGTTCCTTGACAATACCGACAACATCTGGAAAGCGGCACGATACCTCCAGCCAGGTGACCAATCCATAGGGATAGTCCCTACACTGCGCTCGGGGGACCAGACGATCAATGATGACCAGGGAAAGGCCCATACGCTTCTTAGGACCTTCTTTCCGCCGCTGCCCAATATCCAGGATGAGCCGCCAAGAGACAAATCGCTGCCGGACGCCCTTCCGATGAAAATGATCACGGAACACGAGATCGAAGTGGCTCTAAAGAGGATGGCTTCATGGAAAGCCCCCGGACCAGACGCGCTGCCGGTGGTGGTATGGCAACAAATATGGCCTACCGTGAAACAATGGGTCGTCGAAATCTTCCAAGCGTCACTCCGACTCAGCTACTTCCCCAGTGATTGGAAGGTAGCTAAGATCGTGGTGATACCCAAGAGTGGACGTGACCCATCGTTGCCAAAATCATACCGCCCTATCTCGCTGTTGGCGACTCTCGGAAAAGTACTAGAAGCAGTCGCCGCCAACAGAATCTCAGCCCTAGTCGAAAAACACCAGTTACTGCCCCCAAATCATTTTGGCGCTCGCCAGAGGCGGTCATGCGAGCAAGCGCTTAACATCCTAATGGAAAAGATACACGATGCGTGGCGTGAGGGCAAAGTCCTCAGTCTGGTGAGCTTCGATGTTAAGGGTGCATATAACGGAGTGGACCGGGGTGTTCTGTTGCAGAGACTGCGAGAACGAAGAATCCCGGAGGTCCTAATCCGATGGGTTGACAGTTTCTGCTCCTCGCGACGGGCGTCGATCATCGTAAATATGTACCAATCCGAGGAAATGGCTATCGAGCATGCGGGCCTACCGCAAGGCTGGCCGCTCTCTCCTATTTTCTTCCTATTCCTGAATGCAAATCTGGTGGATGTCTCTATCACCAGAAGAAAGGGAGCACAGGACGATGAGGCAATCGCAGCTTGTAGTATAGCCACACTTTGCTCCAACAAGAAGTGTGTTCATTCTGTTTTTGAACCACCCGAAGCACCTGCCCAATTTCGACACGAGTACTTCCCATATCATCCGCCCCTGACAAGCTTTTAGTGGGGACGGGTAAATGATTAGCGCGAATACCCATGCTAATACAAGGATTGCCTGGCATATAGGAACGACAACTAACGTCGTTAGTTTGTAGATGCCTGCGGCGTAGGTGCTCTCGTAAGTTCTCCTGCTACGTAAATCCCTTCCCAGATTTGCTATTGCAATCTGCGTAGGGGCACATGATCAGCGGTCCATTGAGATGCTTTTTATGGACCTCACGCTAATAGCGTAACAGATCATAGGCGTAGGCGAAGCCTTATTTTATGTCGCAGTTTGGTTCATTACGTATGAAGGGACGGTTATGTTTATCCGTATGTTTACTTAGGAAGAAAGGAGTTAGCCTCAGGAATATGATATGCGAGGATACAATCAAGTGATACCTACTTCTAATCACATGGACGACCAAACGTCGGTGGATTAGGTTGATAATCCTGATAGTCGCAATAAGTCTAGTTATTCACATTTTTAGGCATGGCACGAGCGTGCACACGCGGACGCCTGCCGGTCATAATATTAACGTTTATTTCTTTGTTGATTGGGAACTGCTTTGAAAACAGCCACACTCCACAAGAGAGCAATTATACTAACCTCTAAAGCCCTCTCTGATTCCTCGGCTTGTCTTGACTCCTCCAGCAAAGCTAGCCTTAGAGGGACTGGTTTATTCCAAAAATTGGTTCTGCATATTTCTGGACTTGGGATCCCCTAGAGGACCTTACTCAGGATGCCAGATTGCCGTTGGCCAAGTGCAAGGCTTTAAAATACTTGAAATCGCCTGAACCTGTCACCGAAAAATGTTGTCGCCTTGGTGGAGGAGGTGTTGGCCTATTGGAGCTATGATACTGTTCTCAAGTTAGCCCTGACAACTTGCCATTTTGATCATTGTCATTTTGAGAAACCGCCTGCTTCACCCTCGGATAATTTCGTCTCCTTCTTGAGCTCTCCTTCTTGAGCTCTTCTTCTTGAGGTAGCAAAGAAACCCGTGATTAAGATACTACAAGACCGATATAGAGGCATGATAGGTCGGGGCGCTGCGTTGAATGATTCTTTCGACTTCTTGCTGGTCCTGGATCAAGTCTAGATTGATGGTTATCTGACCTCTGCATTGTTCCTACATACTCATTTGAACATTTATCTTGCTTTATATCAAGCTTTTTATAATGTTTCTGTACACGAGAAGTGGAGTGCTACCGGTTAGGAGACCAAGGATGAATGGTTGAGGCGGTTGGGTTGAATTGGCGTATTTGGTCTACTTGACACGGCTTATCAGCCTTTACCCATAAGATGCATTTAATGCATTTAGCAGATTGCCGCTCGGTCAGCGTCATAGGAAAACGTACGAGCAATGTACTCTGAAGCAACCCGGCAGACCTATTCAACATCTTCGCGGATGAGGAGCCGCATGATGGGCGTAGTTGCTATTAAAATCACAACGGAGATTGGGGTTGGTTACTGAGCTTGTGCAGGCTCAGCACTGTGGACGGCCTTTTTCTGTCCGTAGCCTCCATAGGTACGGGGGAATCGAAGTAGATAGTTACACCTTGCCAACCCGCACGAGGATAGCCCAGCTGTCAAGGTTTGACGTTTCGAATTCCTCAGCTTCAAATTGGCGGCCTGCATCGTCTGCGGCGATAACGTTGATAGGGCAGTCCATGTGGGGCGTGTAACAGTGATACCGTCCACTTTGAAGGATCTGATGACGGGCGACAGTTGATGGGAGCTTCGGCTAGAACGTGCAAAAATCCACTTGTGTGACAGTAAAAAGCAAACCGCTCGGTTGGCTATCACGAGAAAAGCCCCTGGGGAAACAAGGCGTCTCCGAAGAGCACATGCGAAGCAGAAACAAAGCCAGAAATCCGGGGAAAACACTAACACGGACCTCCCATGCAGCTCAGCTCCAGCAGTGGGGCGTAGCACCGTAGTACAGACGCCATGATATGCAAGGTCCCATTTTGTAGCATGTGCTCTCAAATCTTATTCGGAACGTATCTGCGAATCTACGAACTAGCCGTTTTTACCCCAGAGAGTTAAATGGGAAACTCTACGTTCGTTTATATTACTATCAACCCCCCGGAGTAAAAGCACCGTACAGTTCCAGGCATAAAGATCACCAGGAAAGAAAGAAGACAGTAAAGAGACGGAACGGCAAGGTATGGGGGGATAAGTATTGGTGCACTTTTGGTTCGTAATATCTACTCTCTTCGCGCCGCCTCTCTAAGGCCTATTCCGCCCGTTTTCTTGGGGATTACAGCGTTAGACTAACGGATTACCTTCTAGACCAGAGGACTACGATATATCAATAGCCATTATTTCGGGTGCCGCAGAGACGTGTGGGAAGAGCAAGATGAAGGTCACCCCCGTTCGCAGCCGCCTTACAGCGCTAGTAACGTCCGCATTCCTGATCGGGTCTGCCAATAGCGCGATACCGCCGGCACCCGCCTCTGTTTCGGCCCCGCAGGTATGGCCACCTCCACAGCAACAGACTTCCCGACCGGACGGCTTCCAGGTGCCAACTACCGCCGCGCTCATCATTGGCAATGGTACCGACCAGCCCGCGGTGCGTGTGGTGCAAGACCTGCTCAAGGACGCCGGCGTGACGAACTTCCTCACGGCCAGCGGGTACAAGTCGCTACCCGACGCTCCGCTGCATGTGTACATCGGCGGCCCGTCTGAGAACAACGCCTCCGCTAGCGCACTCCACGATCTGGGACTGCAGGGTCCCGACGGGCTGAATCCCGAGGGGTACGTGCTAGGCATCGGCCGCGACACAGAAAAGCACGCAGTTGTCGTGCTCTCTGGTATCGACCAGGCGGGCACGTTCTACGCTGCGCAGTCGCTCCGGCAGCTCGTTGTGCCGAGCCCGGGCAAGTCCACGCTACCTGGTGTGGCGATCCGGGACTGGCCCGTGACTTCGCTGCGTGGCACGATCGAAGTGTTTTACGGCGTCCCATGGTCCACCAAGGACCGGCTTGATCAGTTCGACTTCTACGCGGCCACCAAGCAGAACATCTACACCTACTCACCGAAGGACGACCCGTTCCTGCGGGCGCAATGGCGCGACCCCTATCCCCCCGACAAGCTCGCCGTCCTCAAGCAGCTGGCGGAGCGCGCAATCGAGGACCACGTAGCCTTCACGTACGCGCTGTCCCCAGGCCTTTCCGTGTGCTACAGCTCCGACCAGGACGAGCAGGTGCTCATCAACAAGTTCCAGTCGTTGTGGAATATCGGCGTGCGAGGGTTTGCGATTCCCCTCGACGACATCAGCTACACGCGTTGGAACTGTCCTGAGGACGAGGCCCGTTGGGGCACTGGCGGCGATGCCGCAGGGCGCGCACAGGCATACTTCCTGAACCGGGTGCAGAAGGACTTCATCGACACCCATGCTGGCATTACCCCTCTCCAGATGGTGCCGACAGAATACAAGAACATGAGCGACTCGCCGTACAGGACTGCACTGCGCGAGGAACTCGACCCGCGTGTGATCGTCTTCTGGGCTGGCCCCCAAACTGTCACACCCAACATCACTACTGCCGATGCGCAACAGGCCAAGGCGGTGTTCGGCCACGACATCCTGATCGGAGACAACTACCCGGTCAACGACTATGTGTCGAACCGACTGCTGCTTGGCCCCTACGCCGGACGTGAGCCCGGTGTTACCGGCCAAATCTACGGCCTCACCGTTAATCCAATGGTCCAGTCCCAGCCGTCCAAGATCGCCCAGTTCGGATCTGCCTCCTTCCTCTGGAATAGCCAGGCGTACAACTCCAACTCCACGTGGCTGGCAGGGCTGAAGTACCTCGGAGGTCCAGTCTGGCGGGCGTTGAAGGTGTTCGCCGAAAACAACTACTCCTCGGTCCTAACTGGTCAGGAGTCGCTGGTCCTGGCACCCCTGATCGAGCGATACTGGGGGTCTTATAATAACTCCGGACGCGATCTGGGTCGTGACGCCCACGCGCTGTCAGACTACTTCGACCAGATGGCCTCCACCCCGGATCAGCTGAAGAATGGTATGAACAACACCGCATTTGTGACCCAGTCGCAGGCGTGGCTCGACAAGCTTGGACTGTATGGCCAGGCGGGCAACACCGCAATGAAGGTTCTTACCGCACAGCAAGCTGGCGACGCGTCAGAGGCGCGAAAGGAGCGTCTGGCTCTCAACCACCTGCGCAGCCAGCTAGCCAACATCTCGATAACTGCGTGTCCGCTCGGCCAGTGCAAAGTCGTTTACCCGACCGTCGCGCCTGGAGTGATGGAGCCGTTCCTCAACCGCACCGTGGAGCTCAACGATCAATGGCTAGGGCCACGCGGGGGCCTCGGCTTGACGAGATAGCGCCTTTCCTATGCCCGGGAACATGGTCGACAGACTCGACACGACCGCCCCACGGCCTGTTGGTGTCACCGTTTGTTTCCTACTCTTTTTCTTCTTTGATCAAATAACCGAAAAATTGAATCATTTAATTAAAAACTAGCGTGTATTGTGACGCTGGGAAACAGTATGTAGATAGAGTGGGTAGTTTTCAGCAAACTGGTGAGAGGAGACCGAGTGATATGAAGGCAGGCACCTCAGTTCCAGCACTTCTCCCTTCTCTCTCTCCTCTCCAGTCTCAGTATTCGCTGCAGAATGCACTCTTTTCCCAAAGACTAGGCTCGTGTCACATGTATCTTGTAAAGTATTTTTTTAAAAAAATAAGTAATTCTATAAATATTATTTATTAAAAAAAACCAAGCTATTGAATTAATCTAACTTAGATGTCTTTAAAATATCTATAGTTTAATATCAGTCTTGGTATTCTAGAGCTTAATAGTCTTCTTATAAAAGCATAAGACTGAAATTTATCTATTAAAATAGAAAGACATTAGGAAAATAAAATTTAATATAGATTAAATAATATTAAATACTTCTAAATATTAATATCTATATCTTTTCTATATCTCTTAGGATTATTCTGTATTAGTGCTTAACCCTAGTCGCTTTCCTAGGTAGCAACTTCCATACCGTTAGAAATTTTGGTTAGAGGTCTGGGTAAATAAAATCATCCATCCATCCATCCATGCAGCTGTTCGTAAAACTGGGAAATCAGGAAATATACCATCCATTACGGCAAAAAACGGAGCCCCGTTAATGGGGTGGTAATATGTCGTTATCAAGTCTGTCAAAAACTCATCTGGCGATGGATGTCCTGCGTCGTGGCTGGCCAGATGAGACGAGCCCCCATATACTGTATACACTGCGACTCTCGTATGAAAACTCCTCGCCCACCAGCATGCAATCTCCACAGTCTCTCTGCTTCATATCTACTGGTCACCCACGGCTTGACTATATCAGACTGTGGGTCTGCCACATGGGAGTCGACAAGATAAGCGCCGTTGTTATCTAAGTTAGTTAACGTAGTTAACTAATTCACGGCCAGCCCGCCACCTTCAAAACACCATATTAAATACGTTTTTTCAGGTTACAATATATCAATAACGAGAAGTTGGTTTTGCTTGATTCTCGGTAGTATGGGATTTCTTAGCATTAGAAAAAGCATAGCATGGCTAACGTATACATAAAATGTTTATTTACTTGCATTAATAATGTTAGATAGTGTGGAAAGTGTGGCAGATGTGGCAGATGATTGACTGTATTGGCATCTAGATATCTGGGAGAGAGAGGAAGGAGAGGAGCGAGAAGTGGAGAGGAAGGAGAGTGGGGTGCGCACTGCCCCGATCTACTGCCTTCCTCTAACAAATAAAAAATACACTCCGATTGTGTAATGTAGATGTATGATAGTTACAGTGGTGTTCCATAAGTTTGAAACCATCTCTGGGATGACATAATATTCTGCCGGTCCACCAATTGTCAAAATTTCATCCCCCAAGAATATATTTTGACGGTAAAGGTGGTCGATTATGGAGTAGAGACCTCTTCAGTTCAAGCAAACTTTTCACGATCCTTTGCATTGACTATATGGAGATTTCTTGCACATCGGCGTTGACGCTGTAGGCGGAAAAATAGGCGGTAAGGATCAGAGGGTTTCAAACTTATGGAACGCCACTGTATTGGCATGTTGAAACATCGCGTCACATCAAACCTGCATGCAATGCCACTGCAATTATCTTAAATACACTTCCAATTCTCAGGGAGATCTGGATCACCTTCGCCTCTGTAGACGTTTCGGAAAGGATATCGACAGTGATTGCGCTGGAAGGCGATCTGTCCCGACGCCTTTGTACCGTTGACGTAAGCCGTGCCGAGGATTGTATCGGGCGCAGTTCCATTTTCGACCCAGCGAACCATCGCTGCCAAGACGTTTTTCTCCGGCGTGAAGTCGACAACAGTGCGTCCCATATTTCCGATGAAACTTGCCCCTGTACCACCAACACAGTGGTTCATGCCGGAGATGATGAACAATCTGTAGAAACTATCCAAAGTTCCTGACTGTAATCCCATGGTTCGTGAGACGTGGTCATAATACCGAGTCGAGCTCTCGGGACTAATGAGTATATCTTCTTCTCCATGATAGGAAAGAATTTTGGTGCCACTGTTCATAGCACCCGACAGGTCACCTTTCCAGGTACTAATTTGAAAAGGATCCAACAGAGTCGCCTTTGCAAAATCCTCGAAACTGATGGTAGTTGGGTTCCAGCTCGGGTCCTCATGTACAACGTACTGGAACCACTGGGTACTTATCGCGAATGGTAGACCGGTAACATAAGGAGTCATCATCCCCATCCCAGGCTGCACTCTGGGGAAGATCAAGGTATTGTTCGGTCCGTAGAGGGGCGAGAAGAAGTCCCTGACCTTCTTTGCTTGTGCTCCCGTGAGGCAGCTATGGGTCTGGCTGCTCGCGCAAATAAGGGCCTCCGGGCGGTATTGACATAGATTTGTATTCTCTATAATGCAATCGATGACGCCATCCAAAGCATCGCATTGATGCAGCACGGCTTGTCCAATCACCTGCCACGTCTCTAGAGGGATGAAATCCGGTGAGCCAGGGACGCCAGTTATGTTGATGAAACGTGCTGCCCAGGAGACTAGATTGTTCCAGTTTAAAGCCGGTGAGCCAGCAACGATTCCATCGAAATCATTCGGAAAATCTTGTGCCTCTTTGAAGCCCTGGCGCCCACCTGTAGAGCAGCCAAGGTAATACGACTTGGTATGTGCCTTGTCGTAAAACGCCTTGGTCACTTGCTTGCCTACGACGACACCCGTGTGAAGACTTCGGTATGCGAAATCCTCGAGTGCGCCGGGGTTTTTGTAGAGAAGGGCTCCGGAGGTGCCGTTGTGTCCGTTGTTCGCGCCGACGGACGCAAATCCATAGTGTGCGGTGTACGCCATTGCAGCATAATCGATGCAACCGCCCAGTCCGCCATTGCCCGTACTCAAAAAACGACCGGTCCAGTTGAATGGCAACCACGCCTCCATAGAAATGTTGCTGGTCACACTGGTCCCCACCAACAGGGCGACACGGCAGATGTCAACCTCAATGACTTGGCTGGCCAGCGCGCATGATGGATCATTTTCAGATAGAGACAGGTTGGTTCCCGACGGTACATATTCTGTGAACCACACCGTTGCATTGGCGACATGCAGTTTTTCTTTCAAGGAATTGCAGTGGGCTTGTTGCTGACTGCAGTATACTTGAGGAACCAAGGCCACGCCAAGCATGCCCACAAGCTTGGAAAAGTTCATTGTGGTTGAATGAGTAATCGCGATGGCAATGGCAGAACAGGTTGAAATGAATGACTGAAGGGATATGTGCAAGATGTGGTGGAGAATCAATGACCTAAATTTTCAAGGGTCTCACGATCCTAAGCACGACTGATTTCAAATATACGATAGCCAGCAGGCGCTACTTAAGCCACTGTAGACAGGACTCTTGACACTAACAGAATCGCCTCAATGTCTACTAACTAATATAAATAAACCACGAGACATTGATAAAGAGGCGGAAACAGAAATCCATAATTATTGAAGACTGTATAGGATCTCGGGACAAGTCGAAACGACCATGTAGCGTAATAAACTTTGTTTATCTCCTGTCACCGTGACACGTCCCCACTTCCTACCCAATTCGTTCCAATTGTGCACGTACAAACGGCGAAACGATAGAATGCCCCACAGGAAATCCTTGGGATCATGCGGGGATCATGCACAATTGAGAAAGTTATCTATTATCTACTCGGTATGAGACAACCCGAATTAAAACTTAATTAAAGCTCTCTTATCATCCTGAACAGCTCGATGCAGTGCGGGGGTTTCCGGCGGATCTACTGATATAAAGATTGGAGAGGAGCTGCGACATCCAAAGGGAGGCCAAGCAGGTTTCAGGCATTTCCCTCATTTCTCAAGATGTGGACACCCGCACTCAGTCTTTTGAGCCTGCTGCTGCTTTGGCAGCCGGCACGAGCAGACACCAATGACCAGACCACTGCAAAGGTAGATCGAGGTACCTTCGATAACCCCGCTGCCCGGCTTCGTCCGCGTTTTCGATACTGGTTGCCAGACGCTGGCGTTGACGTCCAGACAGTGCAGGATAATATTAAGTCTGCTGGTGCGATTGGAGCCGGAGGAGTGGAGTTTCTGCCGTTCTACAACTACGGCGGGGATTTGATCCCGAAACCAACGGGTGCAAACTGGGCAAGGGATGGCTTTGGAACTCCCTCCTTCCACAAAATGTTCCTGGCCGCGCTGGAGGCACATAAGGAGGCTGGCATGGTGATGGATTTTCCCCTTGGGCCGAATCAAGGCCAAGGCGTACCGGCCGACCCGAGCGATGAAGGGCTGCAGTGGGATTTGGTATTATACGCGCTATCGTCGGTCTTTGCTTGAGGTATATCCTGACTCGGGTGGCTTTTTCTAGGAACCTTTCTCTGTGCCTGTCGAGAACGGTACGTTCGAAGGACAGATTCCCGGATGGGGTACTGGTGATCTGGTTGCTCTAGTCTCTGCCGAAGTGCTATCTACCCAGAATGTCAGCCTGGGAGGTGGATCTATCTCAGGAAAGAGTCAAAGTTCATACCTCTCTTTTGTGCTCAAAAATGGCACTTTGGTAGACTGGGCGCAAAATGTGTCCTCGATGGGACATGCCTCTCTCAAACTTCCCGCTGGATCCTCGCATCGCCTGTTTGCATTCTACCAGTTCCTCACTCACGCGAAAAACGTGGTGCTTAGTGGTAACGGCGGGACCATCTGGGACAATGGCTCGTATATCGTGGATCATTTTAGTCCACGGGGTGCACAGGTAGTAGCGAAGTTCTGGGAGAAGTATATTTTACCAGATGGGGTAAAAGATCTCTTGATGCAGGTTGGTAACTACGGTAAGACGGCCTCTCGCTTTAAGGTAGCTTTTTTTAATACTGTGATATGTGCTGATCCATATCTACCAGGTTGGGAGGATAGCATTGAGCTACGTTCAAATGTATCCTGGACCCCATTACTTCCAAAAGTTTTCCAATCCAAATATGGCTATAACATGAAGCCATTCCTGCCCTTGGTTACGTTTAGAGACAACAATATCAATATCCAAACCCCCACCCCTGGCAAGTTCCACTGCATCCTTGACACTCCCGACCAGGGCCTTGGCTATTTCAACGACTTTCGTGGTGCGCTCGTGACAACCTACCGTGGCTACCTGGAAGAGTTGACGAGCTGGGTCAACAAAGAGCTCAACCTACAAATGTCAGCTCAGGTGTCATACAACTTGCCAATGGATATGGAAGCCAACATTCCTTTTGTGAATGTCCCAGAGTGTGAATCCCTTCAGTTCAATAGCAATATTGATAGCTATAGGCAGTTCACCGGCCCCGCTAACTTGGCCGGGAAGCGTGTTATCTCTAACGAGATGGGGGCCGTTAGGTTGAAAGCATACAATCTACCACACAGCAAGCTGTTGAGCTTTATCAATAAAGCTGTGGTAGGTGGTGTTAATCAGGTTGTCATTCATGGACAGTCATATACTGGTGATTACTATGGCACTACCTGGCCGGGCTATACCGCGTTCGCTTACTTGTACTCGGAACTCTACTCTGACAAACAGCCCTCCTGGAGCCACGGCTTTGGAGACGTCTTGAACTACACGGCTCGCGTCCAGTATCTACAGCAATCGGGCGTACCGCGCACCGACGTTGTTATTTACAATAAGGTGTCTGGCACCGATCCAAGTTTCCCGACGCTTTACTTGTCAAACGACTTGATCGATGCTGGCTATACCTACTCATACCTCTCTCCGGATAACTTTGCTCTGCCCCAGGCCAGGGTGCAGAACAAGAACCTTGGGCCAGATGGTCCTGCGTACAGGGCTATGGTTATCACTAGCAACAGCAACCTCACCCTAGACAGTGTGAATTATATTCAAAAATATGCCCGTGCAGGACTGCCGGTGATCCTTAGTGGAGGTGAACCTGGCGTCTATGCAACCTATGACGGCAGAGATACAGCGGCGATCAAACAGGCTATTCAAGCATTGAAGCAGTCCCCTAATGTCTACAGCATCTCGGTTGGAGAGGCTGGCGCTAAACTTCAGGACCTCGGTATCCAGCCACGAGTTGCTTTGCAGACTAACGGAACGTGGTATTCTACCTGGAGGGAGGATGCAATTAACGGCATGGACCATGCTTTCGTCTTCTGCGATAGCAATGCCTCGACTGGTACCGTTTCCATTGCAAACAGCAAACCCCCTTTCTTCTTGGATCCTTGGACAGGCCAGATAAAGCCAGTACTCGAATATACTCGCCAGGGTAACCAAGTTATCATTCCGCTCAGCTTGGCCGCTAACCAGGCAGTCGTGATCGGCTTCATCAAGGGCGCCTCTAGCCCCGCGCAACACGTTACGCAGCTCCCCTCGTCCGTGGTCGGATACGACTATTCCAAGGAATTCGGCTTTGTGCTGCACGTATCAGGAAGCAAGGACAAGCAACTTCTGACCGTATCTAACGGCAAAACTGTCAGCATCGCTGGTACGGACCAACACGGGGCTTTTAACCTGTCCAATTGGACACTTACGGCCGAACACTGGGAGGCACCCTCCAATATCAGTGATGCTGCCACGGTCGCCATCAAGCACAACACAACCCATCAACTGTCTTCTTTAGTCTCTTGGGCTGAGATCGAGGCCCTGGGGAACGTGTCCGGCCTGGGATACTACTCGACAAGTATCAGCTGGCCCCCGGCTAATGTCTCTGCAGACGGAGCCTATCTCACACTTCCTGCCATCTATCACGCTGCACGGGTTTATGTCAACGGGCAGAATGTCCCTCCAATTGATTTTGCTGCCCCGCGGGTGGACCTGGGTCCGTATCTGAAGACGGGCTTTAACCAGGTCATGATCGTAGTTCCAACTACCATGTGGAATTACATTGCCAGCATCGCGAGTGGGATTGAATGCGTGGATATCCCGGCTATGGCTTTTATGTCGGCATTTGGATTGCCTGCTCCCCCCATTACCGATAACGGCTTGCTTGGCACTGTGACACTGGTGCCCTATGTCAAAATGCGATTGGACTAGATGGCTGGCGGCAGACGGGTTTTGTAATTCATAGGAAGGGCAGGGGGAGTCTATTTACGCCACGCAATGAATGCATATTCCTAAATATATTCTGGTGTGGTGGAAAAGTGGAGACGCACATTTTATTGACAAGAGATTTGTCACAGGGAAAACCAGATTGCCTGCGTATTTATTGGTGACCTCTCGCAGTCAAGATGGGAACAGGAACGTGTGTAGTTTGGCCGTAACGGGTCACCTGTCGCTGCGGTCTTATGCGTAAACGCATTAGACTGTAGCGTCAGAGAAGGCCCGTCCGCGCTCCCTTGTAGGGAGGCAATGTGTCTGTATATTGCAATGCTGATTTCTATATACAGAAGGGAGGTGGGAGGGACCAAATCGAGTCTTGACTGCGTGAGAGATGACGAGCTACCACCAGAGGCGAGCAACTGACTCTTGCGAGGCAGTTGTAGGAGGAAGAAGCCCTCCGTAATGTCGGTGTAGATGTCACATGAGACAGCGTGGGCAACCCCAATAAAACTCCTCCCTTTGTATGTATCCACGCCCACGAAATTCGCGAAATCGCACGTGACCCCTAGGATTTATTAACGGAACGAGGGCGAAGTGGATCATACGGGTGCACCAATGGAAATCACAATAGGTCTCCCTTGCTATCAGGCCCCTAACTGGCAATTTGGACGGGCTCAAAATACATGACTAATCTTGACGGGAGATAGTATCTCCTGTCTCCGGGGATCCACCTATCTGCTGTGTTCCGACAGCATAACAGAAAATATCAGGTGATGAGGCCTAAGGCCGAGGCAGCATGAAATGTAAGAGAAACGTGCCTCCACACGTCACAACGGTCGATCGGCAGGACAGATACACAAAAGGCGCTTTACGAGGCATTGAGAGGCCCTGAGAACACGATATATACCATATACCCCTACAATCGCTCGCTCCTCCCCGCCAGATGGAGGTCGACGACCCCCCGGCGGCCGGCCGTCGCCCGGGAACTCCTGTTGTGATATGTCGTATCGTAACGGAATCAATTCCTAACCTCACGGAATTACCAGCGTTGATTGGAAATCAATCTGGAGGTCGCATGTGTATATAAACCCTCAAGTTTTCTGTCCAGAAGGAATACAAGCAATCTTCCTCTGAATTACAACAACTCCGCATCTCCTCGAGTCCTCCGAGCTCCCTTCGGATCCTGCCACCCCTACTCCCCTCCCTCGAAGTTCACTGAAACGAAGGGCAGTCTCCTCTCCAAGCAAGTCGCCTGCTATAGCGCCGGCAGCTATCCCGGCCACGATGCGCGTCCTATCCGTCCGCCAGCAGGTCAGCGCAGCCGCGGACGACCAACTCCTCCTCCTTAGTGACTGGAAGTCACACTCATGGGCCAAAAGTCTGTTGACACGGGTGATTTCCTAATTTAGCTAGCCCCTACCTACCGTACTAAATTTGTTCCTACGCTTCCAAATCGCATCTAATTCAACTAAAATCAAGATATATCATAGATTAATGGCTAATCTATCTATTGAAGAGGGGAACGCTCGATGGCTGCACGCGCTGAGACGTGCGGGTCGATTCAGCAGAAAAGCCACCACAAAACACACGCGTAGCAATCAGGAAACAGCGAGAAGCCCAAATGTAGGAGTCAGGTCGGGGAGGTGTAAGAAGGTGTATTCTAGAACTAGCTATCCGGCCGCTGTATACTGCCGGCTATGTCACATAGTCTGGATGGCACCCATGTAGTAGGGGGAGGGTGTCTCCCCACTACACTATATATATTAATATTTAGTATACCAGCCCCTAGCTGCTAGCACTGCTTTGATCCTACGTGGTAGACTAAGGATCAACCGGTCAATCGTATCCTGATCTAGATGGTTCCACGAATCGATTAAAGCAGCTTTAAAATCAATCCAGTCAACGTTACGCCGGCGCCCGTTAGCCAAATTTGGATGTCGCCTAAATAATTCGCGTTTTAATAGGCTCCAAACTGGTTCAATCGGGTTAAGATCAGGCGAATGTGGAGGCCATTCCGTCACCCATATCCCATGCGTTTCAAACCAGTCTTCAGTAGCTGCCGATAGACCTCGCCACGACCCGCGGGTGACCCTGACGACCCGGACCGCGACCCGGACTGTTGAAATATCACGGTTACTGGGATAATCATGGGGGCTGGGATCACGTGCATGCCTATATATCTGTTCACCAGTCTACCTGTATCTAACACAATCAACTCCCCTAAACAACATGAACATTGAAGCATCACTTATAAATCAACACTCGGACCCGGAACCGTTCAGGTCCGGGTCGCGAGTCGGTAGGGGGGACCCAATATCAGGGTCGTGGCGAGGTCTAGCTGCCGACCGGTGAATTGGTGCGTTATCTTGCTGATATATAAAACTAGGCTCGTAGAACGGTAGAAGACCCTGCTCGAGTGCTTCGATATACGAGATCGTTGAATAACCGCCGCGAGGAGCATCAGAAACCCGTTCCATAACCACTAGGTCCGATCGACCACCAATCCAGATTGTAGCGTATACCATAAGCGATATATCGCGCCCGTGCGTAGTAAGATTCACAAGATCTGGTCTTAAGGCCTCATCTTGGTACCGGAAGACAAATTGAACCGGTGAATTCGATCCACGTTGCACCGTACATTCATCAGAAAATATTATATCCTCCCAGTGATCGAATTGTATCCACTGACGGCAAAATCTTCGGCGGGCTTTTGCATCATCGGCTGTTAAGTGGATTCACTTCTTTGACTTCCACTTATGAAGATTGAATCGCCGTAAAATGCGCTGAACTGTACGTTTCGATATCGATTCATCAAGATCGGCGATTATCGCTTTATAGCTCCAGGCTACGGACATGAATAAGGCCGTATACGCACCAGCACCGCTACGGATAACGGTCTACTCGGACGGCTCACGCACTAGCCAAGGGGCTGGGTACTGGTTCGTGGTCTACTACGGCTCTATCCCTATCACCCAAGGGTATAGATCAGCTGGCTCCCGGACGGAAGTTTACGACGCCGAGATCATGGGCGCAGCAGAGGGCCTCCGGGCGGCTATTAACCTATCCTGCGCAAGCTACTCCACCGGCCTCGTTATCCTCCTTGATAACCTCGCTGCCGCTAGCTTACTCGCGGACGGGAGGCCTATGCCACACAGACGAGAACTCACCGACTTATTCCAAAACCTCACTACCCAGTGGGAATACACTCCGTATATCCTCAGCACACCACGCACGCCCGTTGAGGTACGCTGGGTCCCAGGCCACTCCGGGATAGTAGGGAACGAGACTGCCGACGAGCTAGCAAAGAAGGGCGCAGCGTTAGACGGCTCCTATATCCCCCCCCCTCCCCATCCTACCTCAGACGTGAAGCGAAGCAACAGACGCGCGCAGCAACACGCGCAGCGTACACCAGAGACGCACCCCAGTCACACCAGGACCTAAACATTCAACCTCACACCAAGAGTAGCCGCGCTCGGGAACACGGGCTTCCCCGCTGGATGCTCGGCCGGCTGATAGCCGCACGGACTGGCCATGGCGACTTCAAAGAATACCATAAGAGGTTCCATCACAGGGACTTCCTTGCGACCTGCTCCTGCGGTAAGCCAAAATCCCCCATACACTTCTTCTTCTGCCCGCCTGCGAGGAAAAGCTGGAAAGATCGATGGAAGGGCCCGAAGGCCAGCCCGTCTACAATGATAGGCTGGATACTGAGTACAGCTGCTGGGGCCGAAGAATTCGGCCGCATCGTGCAAACAGGACGAACAGAGATGGAGCTTCCTATCTAAGTATGCCGTATGGACAAGAAGGAATAAATAAGGAACAGGAAGTTAGTAGTTATCAGGAGATAATAAATAGGAGCAAAGGCAGTGTACCATAGCAGAATAACCTTGTAGCCCTGGCAGCTGTAAGTTCCAGTGAGATCCAACCGAGCTCTAACCAATAAGTTTATACAAGGCCTATAGAAACCAGTGAACTATGGGTGGCGGTATTGCGATGAGGCCCAAGATAGAGACTTTGAGGATTCCACCATCTAGAAAATATCCAATCCGTGCATGATCCTACCAGCCCATCTCATCCCTCATAGCCTCTTCAAGCAGCGCAGCTCCCTTCGCCTGTGTAGCCGCATTGGGATGATAGCTGCAGCCCGTATCTGAACCTTGCGCCGGCCAGTCCACAATGCGGGTTGGTACATTTGTGAGTTGATCAGCTGCGTCTTGGTACACTCTCAATTGGGTGGTTTTCTGCGCGTCGGCGGCCGTCGGGTAGTCATCGCTTAAGAGCGGCGAGGAGACTAGGAAGAATTTTGCTGATGGATAATGCCAGTGGATCTTCTCCATCAATTCAACGAGGGCAGCCGTTAGGTCTGCTGGGGCGACGGTTTCGCGGACACCCACGTAACCGAAGTCATTCGTACCGAGATTGATCACGACGGCATCCGGGACCCACGACTGTGGAAAGGTGAAGCTGCCGTCCGTATCATTCGCGCCGTACCGCGTGTAGATTACAGGCATCGTTGGCGATTGGTCCGGAGGTGTTGATCTATAGTAGTTTCGAACCAGTCCCTTGCCACTCCATGCGACGACGCTGTAATCGGCATCGACCGCATTGGCCGCCAAAGCGCCGTACGTTTTCGGATTGTCTTCCAGAATAGCTGAGTTGTTGCAAGGCATGATGCCGTCTAGACCATAGCCGACCGAGATCGAATCGCCGATGATCTCGATTTTCCGCTTCGGTGCCCTACTCGGGACTAAAGTGCCATCGGTCGTGACGTCGGTGATACGGAACGTGCCGAAATCTGACTCCGAGCGTTTGCGCAGCTCAACGGCGTGGGTTCCCCGCGAAATCGTGGGCGTTGAAATGGATGTGCCGTTGACATTTGGTATGATTATGGGCCCGTTATCGTTAATGAACAGGGCAACACTAGACGTGCCGTTCGCGCTGTTGATGTTTATGGAAGCGGTGGTTCCTGTGAAAGTAAAAGCTACACCGGTGCTCGCCCAGGTGAGCTCCTTCGTTTCCGGATTGACCCGTCCGACAAACCTATAGTCCTAGTTACGTGCGTCAGATCCTATGTACTATGTTTCAGGGGCATGGTAAGCAGTTGAACTTACAGACCCAGTGCGTCGGGACATCACCATACCCGTGGCCGCACACAGCAAAAAGAGAGATTGGGCGGCCTTCATCATAGACAGCCTACGGTCTTTCACCAAAAAGACACACACAGCAACACAGATATAGCGACACTTTAAGATTGAGCTTGTTATATTTAGAATATAGTCCCCTACAGTAGCGTGGTCGAGCATTTATGTTTGCACAACATTATATGCTCAACCAGACGTGCAGAGGGCGTTAGAGACCCGTGCGTTTGGCCCTGGCATAGTACTGGCGGCTGCTCATCGTCTATGCGTTAGGTTTCCGGTGACAGCATTCACACTTCCTTTGCCCATGTAGCGGAGGCTTATCATGTGGCGCATAGGTTTGTAAGGTACACGAATTCAAAGGCATCACGGTTACATTGATTATAGCTTAAAAAGTACGGAGTACTCCGTAGATTATGTTACACTTACATCCTAATTTTAAAGAGTGGGGCGTGGCACGGTAGTAAAAAATATATCTGTGCCCTCCGCTATGCTGCGACCCACCCATGAGAGAAGCGAATGGGTGCGCCACACATTCTTGACCACCACATTTTCTTGACCAATTTTCGAATACACCATGCAATTAATCAACTAAATCAACCAATAATAGAAATAAAAGAGCTCTCCTTTCTCCCTCGCTTCCTTCTCATTGTAAATTGCCCTTTGGAGACTCTCCTTAGTCCGCTGTGTAGGTTTAATACCATACACCTTCTCTATCTCCTTGTCAAGCTTCCCCTTATTAGTAGCCTTCTCCTTCTCCTTATCCTCTCGAATGTTGGAATAGCTGATTGTATGGTGTATTCGAAAATTGGTCAAGAATGTGTAGCGCACCCATGAGAGAAATCACCACTTCCTAGAGTAAAATCATAGGATAGACATAAAGGTCACGGGGAAAGAAGAAACTAACACTTAAAAGGTAGAAAAAAAAGCTAATAGAAATATTAGTATCGGTGCATCTTTCATATATAATTGACCTTCGAGTCATCACTTTAAGTCCTACTTCTGCCCGTTTTCTTACCCTGAGCTATGTCTTCTTCCTCGTGTATCCTCAGAGCACGGACCAGGATATTCAAGGGCCATATCCTTCTAGAGCAAAGAACTACAGTCTCTCAATAGCTATTAGTTCGGAACGCTGCAGAGGCATGTCCGAGGAGCAAGATGAAGGTCACCGTTCACCGTCGTCTTCTATCGCTAGTAACGTTCACATTCTTGATCGGGTCCGCGAGAGCCGTTTCGGCCCCGCAGGTGTGGCCACCTACGCAGCACCAGAGATCTCAGCCGGAGGGCTTCCAGGTGCCGACCACCGCCGGGCTCATCATCGGCGAGGGCACCGACCAGCCCGCACTTCGCGTGGCGCAAGACGTACTCAAGGACGCCGATGTACACGCGCGGGGCAGCGTCGGGCAGCCGGTCGTCCTCGCTGGCTGTGATGAAGCATCGGCGGCCCGTCTGAGAACTTCGCCTCGGCTGGCGCCCTCCACGATCTGGGACTGCAGGCTCTGACGGGCTGAATCCCGAGAAGTACGTATTAGGTATCGGCCGCGACGCGCACAGGCAAGCAGTCGTTGTGCTCTCCGGTCGCGATCAGGACGGCACATTCTACGCCGGGCAGTCGCTCCGGCAACTCGTCATGGAGCGCGCTGGCAGGTCCTGGCTGCCCGGCGCCATGGAGCCATTCCTCAACCGCACCGTGGAGGTCAGCGATAAGTGGCTGGGGCTCCGCGGGGTCGTCAGCGGCTCGTCGGACACTTTTATATAGGTCACCAAAATTAGGTTTTCTGCAAGCTTCTTTATTGCTAGGAAATTCTGCTACAGAGGGCGGTTCGACTTCCGGTTACTGGAAAGAGCATAATAGAACATTTCGGCCTCGGAAAGGCCAACTGGCTCTATAAAACATAGGTGCTTTTATCTGATCGTTTAACTTGCACTTAATGTGATGTTTCTTTTATGACTTTGCTGTGCTAAATAGTGCTAATTGTAGAAAAAGATGTGAATGGGTTGAGATTGATATTTATGTAATTATTTCTGCTTCATCCGCCGCTCGGTAGTTGAAAACATAAGTAACTATTGTAGTGGGGAGACCCCCTCCCCCTACTACATGGGTGCCATCCAGACTATGTGACATAGCCGGCAGTATACAGTGGCCGGATAGCTAGTTCTAGAATACACCTTCTTACACCTCCCCGACCTGACCCCTACATTTGGGCTTCTCGCTGTTTCCTGATTGCTACGCGTGTGTTTTGTGGTGGCTTTTCTGCTGAATCGACCCGCACGTCTCAGCGCGTGCAGCCATCGAGCGTTCCCCTCTTCACTATATAGCTATTTAATAATCTATATTAAGCTGTTTAATAGCCTAGAGGATCGACGAGCCTGGATTTTATGGTTACCATTTAAGAAAACGTTTAGCTTAAGTGATAAGCTGGTGAATATTATAAGGAGACTTATGATTTTCCGGCTCTTGTGGGGGCTTGGAGTGTGCTTGTTGCCGTTATTGTTTTTATGATTCTTGCCGACTTCGTCAACCCGAACTTGCAGCCGGGACAATGCCTGGGTCAGGTTGAACGGGGGCAAGGCCTGTGACCATGAGTCCGCTTCGGATGTTCGACGGCAAGAGTGCTTATCGGCGAGTAAAAGCTCACTGGAGCTGGCATCGCCAAGAGTTGCTTGAGGGCCTGGGGAGCCAAGTCAAATTGGGACTTTGCGCTGAGAACTTGGCGGATGATGCACTTATCCAAATCAGACTGTGATCTGGTGAGTTCTGAAGGCGTCACACCCTTCTACGCAAAGGATGCAGGGAGGAGAATCAGGAAAGGATCGAGAGACATCACCTTCTGAGCTCTGACATCTATCTAAGGATGAAGAAGGGGGAAACAAGAAACAAGGCCTTTTATAGGCCGCAGAAAAGAAGCATCCGGCAAACGCTGGTCCTGGCAACATCCGCGGAGACAACCGCCAAAGGGAAGGAATCTCCGTCAAGTTCTTATTGTGGTGGCTAGTTGCGAAGAGAGGATGCGTTCTGTGCCAGGTTCTTTATGTAACGAGCCTCCATCCTGGACCTGCTAGGAGCCGCGAAGCCCCCAAAAAAGACTGTAGACAGCATCGGTCGCCTACCGTCACGGGTACTGTGAACTTGCTAAGTTCCCGTGTCGGCGATTGGTCTTTCATCGCTGGAGGGCGCTCCAACAAAGACCGTGGCAATATCGACCATTCTCGAATGACAAGATGCACGTTGGGGCAAAGTGCTTTTGCAGCTTTGCGGATGTTCTGAATGCCGAAACCCAGGGCCTGCAGGTAATTCTTGAAGGTGATGTTGTCCGTCCATTTCTTGGACAGCGCTTGGATACTTGCCAGGTCGGGCGACGTACGTATTGATGGAATTTGGAGGTTCCTGAAGGACGATGGTTTGGCCCAGTCACTGCTCATGGAAGTATTCGAGGATCACACAGACAGTTTTGGGGCTATTCTCCACCCACGACCCCTCGTGTCGACTTGCCGTCTCATACCAGGTCTCCGTTAGACCTATTATAATATGGCGAGGGCCTTGGCCCCTGAAATGTCCCTGTTTCATAATGCTATAGAGAGCAAGTCACGACCGATAACCTCGGCAAGACGGTACGATGTTCGCAAGCTCTCGTAAGCGTAGCTACGGTGAAGGAAGTAGAACTGCCAGTCAGGGTGTTAAGCATAGAGAAGTACAGCGTTTGGAACATATAGTAAGCAGTGTGCCAGAGCATCGTGTATGCTGAGGACGTACGTAGAGTTTCTTCAACAAGCTTCAGAAATCCTTTTTAATGATGCCTGGTGGCTAATAATCAGTCTAATCATCCGAGCTATTTGAGACGACCCCTTCTTCCATATTGGAAATGTGGACATGAGAGTAAGTAGGCGGTTCGCACTTCACGATGTTACCTGTGTTGAGGCGGACGAGATTATGACGGACGTTTAGGGCACGTGAAAGAAACCAATGCACCCATCGAAGTCGTTCCAGTTACCTGCCCTGTCCGTCGAAGGAAAATTTTTAGAACTTTGACGTCGCACGAGATAATGTTGACGTAAGATTTTTCTTGGAAAGTGCCGTCTGAGGGAATACAGGCATAAGTTCACCATATATATACGGCTTGTTGCCACTCGTCAGAGTCCCTGTTTCCATCTCCGCCACTTTGTAGGTGGTCTGCAGGCAAATACCCTTGACTTGCACCACAATACACTCAGTGAACGATTCTTGACCCCATGCTTTCCAGTATTGGGTCCGGGGTTCTGCTCCTCTGCTGGGCTCTCACAGAGGTAAAGCCAAGCCTGGAAGCTCCCAGAAATGTCTCTTGTGAGACTGGTACCGACTCTTCTCTGATTGATGGCGTCACAGGTAGTACATCAACTTCTGATGTAGGAGCGAGAATGCCTAGATATGCTTCCTTCTCGTCTTCACGAGTTGATTTCGATTGATCTGGGGGATTTGCAACCATATCGGAGTCAATTGACTTAAAGTACTGATACAGTGAAGAGGGTTTCCGTCAGAATGAAACTCAACATACGCGAAGATTCCAAGTGAAAATAAGGCAAAGATCTCCAAAACTTACTTTCACAGTTTTGACTTTTAAATCCAGCGTAGCTTCTTCGTCGACAATGAGGGTAGCATGCTGATGGAGCTGCAGGCAAGACAGCGTCCACATATGATTGACGCCCTCTTCGACACATTTCATTAGGGCCAGGGATTTATGTGCGCCGGTCACAAGAATCAACACTTCTCGGGCCTATTCGAGCTGTCAGAGAAGCTATTCGTTTCGTTGATAGATAGGCGTCCTATTTGCTCCGATCTGCGGAGGTCGACAGATATAGAACCAATTTTTGGCTTTAGGGGAATCTTACATCCATGACTGTCTGGACTCCGACCGTTACGGCTAAGTAGGGTACCTTGCCCGCATCGCCATCGAAGAAACGAGCATTGGCATTAATGGTTTCCGTGGTGAGCGCCTTAACCCTCGTCCGAGACCGGAGACTTGAACCCGGCTCATTGAATGCCATATGGCCATCAGACCCCATGCCACCTAGAAATAGTTCTATTCCGCCGACTTGCATGATAGCTTCTTCGTAGGCTTTGCACTCAGCATCCAAATCCGGAGCGTTTCCGTTAGGAAGGTGAATATTCTCCGGTCTGATGTCAATATGGTTGAAGAAGTTGTCGAACATGAATTGATGGTAGCTTTGCTCGTGGTGAGGCGGCAGGCCAACGTACTCGTCCTGTTTATCTCATATTAACCGCCAGCTTTCCTTCTTGGCGTAGGATTTTCGCATAAATTTGACCCTGGTGGAGCATACCATGTTGAATGTGACGACATTTTGAAATGTCAAAACTCCTCGCTTGTGCATATGCACAAGGTTTCGGTACACGAGCAGCGGAGTGCTGCCGGTTGGAAGACCAAGGACGAATGGTCGAGCGGAGGTTGGGCTGAATTGGCGTATTCGATCTACCCGACACGGCTCATCAGCGTTTTACCCGTGAGATGTATTTGGTAAAGTATCGGTCAGCCAGGTTAGAGAAAAACGTACGAGCAATGTACTCTGACGCAACCCGACAGACCTGCTCATCATCTTCGCGGATGAGTAGCCGCATGGTGGACGAACTTTTACCAAAATCATAAACGAGATTGGTGTAGTTTACTAAGCTTGTGCATGCTCAGCTCTGTGGACGGAGATAGTACAAGAAATATCTTTGTCTATAAACTCCTTGAGTACGGAGGAATCGGATTAGATACCACTTTCCCGCCCGCATCACGAGGATAGCCGAGTCCCAAGGTCTCTGCTTCAAATTGGTGGCCTGCATCATTTGCGACGGCGACTTGTGGAGGAAGACCATGTGGGGCGCGTAACCGTGACACCATCCACTTTGAAGGATCCGATGACCGGCGGTTATGATAGGAGCTTGGACGAGAACGTACAAAGACCCACTTGTGTGACGGTAAGAAGTAAATAGCTGGCTCGGTCGGGTATCACGGAGGGCCGGTGGCGAATGGGGACGAAGTGTCCCCGATAAGCACATAAGTGGAGAGCCAAAATCTGGGGAACTTTACCTGTGCGGGGAGTCCAAGCACAATTGCATGTTCGAATGCACGTGTGTTTCTGTCTGTCCAAAGGATATATGTCTAGGTTTTTTCTCTGCTTCGTCGAGCATGGTTATTGCCCAACAACAACAACAACAACAACAACAACAACAACTCAATTGATCACGAAAGTCAACGATACACAACAACTGGATCACCCACCACTCAAAATGTCCGCGCTAGCTGAGCCCAAGGCAGCCGATTCCGTCACCAGCCTTCCGGCTGCCGATATCGAATCTCGGATGAGGCCAAAGGGATGGCTCTACCGCACTTGGAAGATTGGGCCATGGACCACTACCTACTACGCATCCCCTCTAACGCAAGTCATTCTCGTCTCCTTCATCTGTTTCTGCTGTCCTGGCATGTACAATGCATTGTAAGTCGCCCCCAGAATTGAAACCTCGAAGCTAAGCTCGTCTGATCTTTGGTTGTTTTATTTCAGGTCTGGGCTAGGAGGAGGTGGCCAGCTTGACCCTACTGCTGCTAATAATGCCACCGTGGCTACGTACGCTACCTTTGCTGCCGTTGCATTTTTCGCTGGTTCTATCCACAATAAGCTTGGCGTGCGGACCTTGCTAGTAGTGGGAGGATTTGGGTATGCAGTCATGGTGTCCTCTTACATCTGCTACAATCACACCAGTAACCAAGGCTTCGTCGTCTTTGGAGGTGCCTTGGCCGGCTTTTGCGCGGCCCTCTTGTGGACGGCCCAGGGTACTGTCGTCATGGGCTATCCGTCCGAGTCTTCTAGGGGCAGGTATATTAGCTTGAACTGGGCTATTTTCAACATGGGCGCTGTCCTAGGAGCTTTGGTAAGATATCATTCGAACTCACGAACCTATTGTGCTGGGAAGAGTGTGCGACTGATTGTGGCTGGTGTGACTTTTTTTCCCTGGGCAGATTCCTCTCGGTATGACGATCAACGGCGCTGGAACTAGTGTCGGAGACGGCACTTATATTGCATTCACGGTATTGATGCTCATCGGTTCGGGTTTAGGCTTCAGCCTTGTCAAAACCTCCCGTGTTATTCGAGAGGATGGGTCCCGCGTGGAGCTACCTGCGCAGCCATCATGGAAGAGCGAGCTGATTGGACTCTGGAAAACTCTGCAAGCCGACACTTTCATCGTTTTACTTTTTCCGGTTAGTCACTATGTCTGTCTCGCGATACGCGACACGATGCTTGTTCTGACGTTAGGTGTGTTTAGATGTTCCTCTCCTCCAATTGGTTCTATACCTATCAGTTTAACAACTACAACTTGGCGAGATTCGACATCCGTACGAGGTCGCTAAATAATGTTATTTATTGGGTGATGCAAATCGTTGGATCATTCGTGTTCGGATCCGCTCTCGACTGGAATCGCTTCTCTAGGCAGACCCGGGCTCGCTGTTCCTGGGTTGCCCTCTTCCTCCTGACGATGGCGATTTGGGGCGGTGGCTTGAAGCACCAGATCGGCTTCACGCGTGCTGATGTCAAGCCTGTCGCAGACGAACGAATCAACTGGACGGACGCGGAGTTTGCCCCTCTGTTTGTGCTCTACATCTTCTGGGGTTTCTTCGATGCCGCCTGGCAAACGTGCATTTACTGGTATATGGGCGCATTGTCGAACAGCCCTCGCAAATTGTCTCTCTACGCTGGCTTCTACAAGTCCATTCAAAGCACTGGAAGTGCTATTGTCTGGCGTCTCGATAGTCTGCTCGTATCATACGCCGTCATGTTCGGTCTCGCCTGGGGTTTGCCCGTTCTTGGTCTTATATGTTCGGTGCCCGTGGTTTGGTTCAAGATCAAGAATCAGACAGTGTCAGAGGGGATTATGGTCGAAGACCGGGCTGAAGATGTGTCAGGCGGCAGGGATAAGTCGGTGCACAAGTAGTTCGACTGCTACGCACCTATTTGAGTTTATAGTAAATTGCTGTAACTGTTGTGACATGTCGTATCGTAACGGAATCAATTCCTAACCTCACGGAATTACCAGCTTTGATTGGAAATCAATCTGGAGGTCGCATGTGTATATAAACCCTCAAGTTTTCTGTCCAGAAGAAATACAAGCAATCTTCCTTTGAATTACAACAGTAACGTTACGGCTTGGTTCACCGAAAAGCGATAGAGGTCTTACAGTGCAGTCAGTGATGTGCCTAGATGTTTGTCTCCAAAGCGATTGTTCACAAATATTTTGCCCCTGGTGTAGCGGAAATAGCACAACCATTATACTCCGTACATTGTTACGATCCTCGAGGCGCGGCCAGGGTAGTTGAGGGGCAACCGAGAACCAATCGACCCCCGGTCACTCCGCATTAGCGTCGTCACGTGCAGCTCCTGATATGTCAACTTCCGTATAGTATCCGACCAATTGGAGATATCCCTGACTCTGTATTTCCATTACCCCTATTCACGCTTTTTATGGTCCAATCAGGAAGCAGATCAGGCCGACAGTAACAGGTGGGTCGGGCCACACCTGACCGGAAGATCTATTTTCCAGGTGTAGAGCATAGATTAGTAATCTATTATGATTGGCCAGGTCAAATACCAACTTCTTGGCAATACCAACCCTTTCAATCTCCACACCCCTCCTCCTCTCCACCAATCGTGAGCCCTCCCAACTCCCCGCCTATTTTCATCAAGAACAAATTATTAATCTATTATTGTCGAATCCTAACTAGTTACACCGTACAGGTCCCTGAGTCAAGATGGTGCGTTTCCTGGAGTCCCACGCCCCATACAAGCAATACGTGGCGGATGCGAAGGCCGGTATGCTAGAACTACCCGCGTATGAGAAGGTGAGTGGAAACATCTCTGAGTGGGGTTTCTGATTGTCCTGGGCATTGAAATATATATTGAATGCGCCATCTGTGCTTCTAAAAAATCCTAATAGTGACCTTGAATATATGACTAATATGCATTTCTAGGATGATGATGGTAGCGTTATTGTCCTTCCTGGAGAGCTTTTCTGTCGATTCGAGGATTGCGATCACCAGGTATGCTATTATGATCTTAAAATATTCTGAATCTATTACTAATGTATTATCAGAAGCAGTATTCTCACACTGGCAACCTCAAGACGCACCTCACCGGTCATCAAGGCGTGACGGTCTCTGGTAAGTACGCTAGTAAGGGCCGCCACGCTATCAAGGAGATGGACGAGGTCAAGGGTATTAACACATTCCTAATTTATTCGTTATACTACTAATATATGATTTTAGCTTGGTACACTGCTCTTGTTGCCCGTATCTCTACGAAGCCGCGACTTCCCTTCACGAAGGGTAAAGGCAAGAATCGGAAGGTAAGTTATCTCTGATTTATTGAGAACAGATTGCTAATATATTATAGATTTCGGTTAAAGCCGTGAGGGATTTCCTCGCCACTAAGCATATACACGATGACTGCAACGCCTGTATCACTGCTAATATCAGTAAGCGATTCTTAATATATCCTTAATGCATTGCTAATATATCATAATAGAATGCGGTACTGCCCCATTCACCTGCGAGTATCTTTCTCGCTTTTGGGATGTGGACGCAGACTTTGAGCGTCTCGAGGAGGAAGCATAAATTTACAATTATTCTTAATTCCTTGACCAAAATTGTTAGAGTTAATAGAAGTGGGCATATTTTAACCTACCTACGCTTTACCTGTCTATCTATCTCATCTAATTCTTGCTGCCGTTTACGATTAGCAAGCTGCTTTTCGAGCAATTGTGCCTTTAAGTCCTCCTCTCGGAGCTGATGTTCAAGCTTTTGGATAGCAAGACTATCATGCTCTTGTCGTAAATTGTCAGAGGCAACCCGTTGTAGGCTTTGAGCTCTGTAATATATTAATAAAATATTCTTAAAACATCATAGAGTACTAACCTTGGTGTAGGTGTTCTTGTTCGGCGAGGAGTAGCGGTAGGGGATCTAGTACTAGATCTCCTTGGTACACTAGCTGAACGTCGAGAAATTGGTACACCTGAGGTCGTATACCGTACACTTGTCTCATCAGATGCGAAGAACTCATCTATGTTCGATGAGCTCTCAAGCTGATTGAGTTCCTCTTCTAGTAGCCTCTCCTGGCGCCTTTTTTGCTCTATAGAAATGATTAATAATGTATTGTATATATTCTTCGTATCAACTTACCCTTTGCTAGGTGACGATCGAATGCTGCATGAATACCATTCATCCGATACCTTTGTCGAATTCCGGTTACTTGACGAATAGAATAAGCTTGCATGCGGTTCTTATCATGGGCAAAAGAACTAGAAATATTGTATTAATATACTATTAATATATTACGACGAAATTAATAAGAACTTACTTCAAAACCCCTTGTAGTAGTGAAAGCTGAACACCAGTACTATTGATCATATGGTGCGATTGCTCCACTGCATTTGTGTTCTTTCGAAGTCCTTCGAAAATCACATCAGGTATCTGACTCCAAGCTTTATTCAAAGCTGCCGCAACGTAAGGCAGTTTTTTATGGCGAGCCCATTGCTGAATGACAACAGATGATTCATGCTCTAATAATAAATTAATAAACTATTAAGAACCGATTAGAGTATATTTACCGATTATCCAGTCTAAAGCTTGAATATACTCCTCTCGATTCGGAATATCGATCACTGCTCGCATCCTTTCCCTACATCCAGGAGCGACCTGTTGCCCACGAAGTGCTCTATCAATACCCCTGTAGAAGTGGGCTCTGCAGAAGACAACGAAGTGTTGGATAAGATCATCAGGCGATACTTGAAGAGTACTCTTATCAGCGAGAAAGTCTCTAAGACCTATAACGTATTAGTAATATATTAATAGTATATGATCTTATTTCTCACCTCCGTATTGCTTTGTATCCATATCCAGAACGACAGCATGTAGCCCCGTACGATGGATTGGATAAAAGTAGAACTGGCGACTAAGCACACGCTCTATGCACTCAAAAAGCCGAGTAAATAGGAGATAATAGGTTGAATGGGTCTCGGAAACGACAATCGCACGTGCTAGTGTAAAAACTAGAAGAACATTGTATTAATAAAGAACTATTAATATATTAGGGTAATATTTACCTCGGTCTTGCTCAGGTATATATTTTGAAAATGTAACCTCTCGCATTGACCTTTCTTTGAATCGTTTAAAAGACATGTCAATCTCTACCGATTCAGATTGGATGAAAAGCTCAGCCATGTCAGATGTGAAGCAAATAACCATAAGGTCAGGGTCTTGATAGATATGCTGAACGTAGTCCTACAAAAAGGTTAATTATAATATATTCTCATTATATCACGACCTATTATCTTCATACCTTTAAAGGAGGATCCTTTTCCATCTCAAAGATCAAACCATTGATATCCTGTCCATGAGGAAATCGTAGGAGTCTCTCCTTTCGAATGAGTGTGCTGATCCGGTCTAAATTAGCAAAGCTTTCATGGACATTGAGCAGCGACTCGCTATTATTGTATCGCTTGCATAGACCCCGAAGCTCAGGGCTAACGAGAAAACGTCCTAGGATAAAACATTATTAATATTTCTTTAATATATTCCTAACATATTAGAAAGAACTTTACCTGTTGTTAATGCAGGATTGTTCTGTAGGCGGATTATTCGTACTAATCCGTCTATAATTGCGGGTGGAGGCTTCGATGGAGGTGGCGGAGGGTGCATATGAATCCCGGTTGAGGTAAAAACCCAAAATGGATTGGACGTGAGGTCTATTGGAATAAACCAATGGAACTCAACGGAGCATTTGTGCCTTTTAATTTTACCAAGCCCACGTGTATGGTCAAATTCTATAATATAGTAATTAATAATATGTTCTTAATGTATTAAAGATATATTCCTTACCACAATAGTCTCCACGATGACGATTTGTGTCGATATAACCACAGGTTTGAATTTCTCCCTGGACCTCTCCATCAAGGATTCGCCTAAGCAATTCCCTGTCGATACCAGAGTCAGGGCGCACACATGATGCAAAATGAGACCTTGGACTTTCATATGAATTAGAGCAATAGATATAAAAGTCAGATCCACCAATAACACTCTGATATATAAATAACAGGTTAGAAATATTTGAAGATGTCGGGATATATTCTCCTGTCAGAACAAACTGGCTGTGACCCACTGCTAGCGACCGATGGATAACATCCCTTGCTTGGTGTACGCATTCTTGCGCTGGGCTGTGGCCCCGGTGTCGTGACCGCCGAAGGCCGGCGTGTGGGATCTAGGGGTGTTTTTCCAACTAGACTGAACATCAACATCTATCAACAAGAACACAATTGACTTTTGCTTTGGAGCATACACACTGTCCACTTAACTGTGTACACAGTACCTAGCTGGTGATACCAACAGAAGAATATATTAGTAGTATATTACTTACATCCTGAACCCATCGACCGCGCGGCGAACAAGTATCCTTCCAAGATCCACATGAAGTGCGATTGATCTTGAATTGGCGCATCGTAGATTGGTACAACCTATATGTTGCTGGTTGTAGAGGGTCTTGGGTATCACTGAATGCGATATGTTGGCGAAGCTCTTTGATTCGCTGCCAAATACCCTTAACATGCGAATGCACCATTTGCTTGAGCTCAGGATCTGTAAATTCACACATTTTTATGCCTGTACATCTGTAGAGGCTGTGTAGAAAAGTGACCCTTTCTCCAAAGATAGAATCATGCTGGTTACGTCTGTTTCGATAGGCTTGTTTTGACGAGTATTGCATCTAATATATTATTAACATATTATCAATATATTAATGGGATATTAATATACTCCTTCAATTGACTGCTCCACTGCGAACAATGACCGATCAGGCACATTGATCACATATGTGAAGCCATCCGGGTCTGTCCGGGGATATTCAGGTAGCGCTGAAGTATATTCGATAAAGCGTGTTCGAATCGGCGAGCGCTTGTCGTGTAAGATAGTCCGTAGGAATTCCTAAAGACACAATATATTATTAATGTATACTTAAATATTGAGAATATATTATCGTCATACCGGAGGTTCATCTAGAGCATCTGTAGGTCCAGGGGTCCCTTGAACAGTAGCAGGAACTGCACTCTCCTCACTATTAAGCTGCCGCTGAAGCTCCTGCTGAAGCTCCTGCTCCAGGGATTCACCGATATCTTGGTCGTCCTCTAAAAAGGCTGTCATACTGGGTGTGAGTGCAAACACTAGAATGAGATGGAGAACTACCCCGCCTGACCCATGGTTCAGTGCGAGTGAATAATACATCAGTAATTTATTAAATGTATTCGCCAGAAATAAATTACAGGTGCCAAGAAATTAGGTGTGGCCTGGACTTATCGGGCTTATCAGGTGTGGCCTGACCCACCCGCAGGTGTTCAGGTCACATATACACTCGTCCCTAACAATTCCTCGACTGTCGGGTTTGATGAGTAAACATTTCCGACTTGTGAATCGAGAAACCATTGATTTCTAAATGATTAGAAATCCAATATAGGAATGAAGAGCACAATGAAGTCCTACGCACGGAGTTTCGTGGCTAACTGGTCTTCCTGAAGATCGATCAGACACGATATTCATCTTGTGTATAACATGTCGAGGAAAGTGGAGATGAGAGAAACCTCGAGAATCGATGTGAGCGGATGTCGTGATTTGAAGTACCGGTACGCTGATTTACGACACTTCTCAACGTGGGACTTTGGCCCATTTCTCCACGTGATATAAGCAAGACACCTCAACATGTCTTTGCTACCCTTTTGGTCTCTCCTTCTTTTCTTCGATTAATTTATTCATCTTAATTGGGTTGGCTCCCCTTGCTCCTCTAGGCTCCATCAATGCGTACAAGCCCATACTGTAATTGCATAGCTTGACACAATTGTCGGACTTTCGGATATCGGTATCGACTAGTACTCGCGAGGGGCCAATTGAACCACCTCAGCGATCGATCGATTGACTGAAGAACTACCCCCCCGGTTCCGGATGCCATCTATTCCGGGGTTTTAAGTGTGTTACAGCGCTGCCTTTCCGAGAATACCCGATTACCGTACAAAACAGGTAGGAGATTGGGTATCTGCTGAATCATCCTGCTCCTGATTGTAATATATGTCTCTCCGATCGACAACAATACACTCTCTCATAAGAATGAGTAATACAACTTTGAAACTTTAAATCAAGACTTTCTTTCCCTCACGGGGTTATTTCTAATCATTGTGGATGATTGTGGGTGGTAGGTGGATATGCAGCATATTAATCAAATGCGAGAAAGCGCTTTCTCCTCGCATCTTCCTCTCCTGCAAAAGCCCTTAAGAATCCGTATCATTCAACTTATTTTTAACCCCTCATTGAAGCGCTTTTCATCTACAATGACCGCGTTCAAGAATGTTCTGCTTATTGGTGTACGCCTACACAGCAGTTTGGCACCCATCCCACGTCTAGCCTTCGAACTAACACGTCTTGTAGGCAGGCGGAAACCTAGGTGTTCCGGTCCTTGAAGCATTCCTAGCCTCTCCGTACCGCGTCAGCGTTCTGACCCGCAAAGAGTCGACATCAACATTCCCAGACAGCGTGCCTATCTTCAAAGCAGACTATACCGATGTATCATCCGTCAAGGCCGCAATGGACGGCCAGGACGCAGTGATAAGTATGGTCGGCGGTATCGCAGCCGGCGACCAACAGGTCTTCATTGATGCCGCCCTCGCTGCAGGGGTGAAAAGATTCTTCCCTAGCGAGTTCGGCCCCTACTCGCGGAACCCCGAGTTTGCAGCGCTGATCCCGCATGTTTTGCCGCACAAGAGCGCCACCGTCGACTATCTTAGATCCAAGGAGTCTGAGATGTCCTGGACGAGTGTAGTTACGGGCGCATTCTTTGACTGGGCTATGCGAGTTGGGTTCTTTGGTTTCGACCTCGCCTCGAAAACCGTTACTCTCATTGACGGCGGTACTTCGGTTTTTACCACGACGAACCTGCCGACGATTGGCAAAGCCTTAGTTGCGATACTCGATCATCCGGAGGAGACAAAGAACCGGTATATCTTCTTGTCGTCCTTCAACGTTAGCCAGAGAGAAATTTTAGACGTGGTTGAGAAGGTAGATGCGCAGAAATGGACTGTGAAGCATGTCACATCCGAGGAGGTCATCGATAGGGGCAAGAGAAGGCTTGCAGCAGGTGATTTCGCCGGAATCGTGGATTTGACCACGGGGGGAGCGTTTGGCAAACAAGCCCTGGCCGATGAGAGTCGGCATGGTTTCTGGAACGACCGGTTGTGCCTTGCGAAGGATGATATAGAAAAGATTGTCAGAGAACTGCTATAAAAGCGTATAGGCGTACACTCCACGTCTTCTGCAGTTATCTTTATTTTACCCTAGATATTTCGCCCCCCTATCCACCTACCAAAACTCATTGCTGCCGTGCTATCACTCCTTTGAACTCTACCTCTTCGTCATTGCCACGGAATGCATGAGACCTTGTTCTGGTAATTCGGTGAGCGGATGGCCATCATCAACAACGCGGCTTACATGGAGCCGAAAAAGCCGCCTCAACCCCCTTCGATCCCAGCAGTTCTAGAGAACCAGAATCAACACCCGTTTCATCCCATCATTTGGCATTTCGCTTTTTGATCCCGTTTCACCAATCGACTAGTAAATCCACTGTATTTTGTTGAGAAATCAGCCTTGTTTATCGCGGAGGACTGCACAGTTTAATATTATTTTAGGCCAGAAAGCCGTATTTATGGTATGAAAATATTCTCCCATTCAGGGGGCAGTTTTCAACCTTCTGAGTTTCCTACAATTAATTCCTTGCTGCCTAGTTGGTGCAGATGTTCATTTCCTTCGCATCCAGACCTCATCTCCTCAACATATTTTCATAGCTATACAGGGCATTCCTGATGTATACATACGGCTTTTCAAACCAGATTTAGGATGACGGACTAGTCACACTGGGGCTTCATGTCAAATGAGGTAGATTATCAAACCCTAGACTCAAAGCTGCCCTGTTAAACTCTTCTATCACAGGAATGGCAGGGGCTTTTGAAAGTGCACTGTAGTCCATAAGGTCCCACAGAAATTCTTGATCAGCGGTCTCGATTGGGGATCTGAGAACATTGCCATCCACAAGACAGCAGAAGTTGAGGATTCGAAGACTGAAATGCTCTAATTTCATTTTCTGTTTGCTTATTTAGCTGACTACTGAGAAACCAGATCGATTGGCTTACCGTCACTTTCGCACTATGCCAATATCTGCTTAGCAACTAAAGATGCCTGATACATGCTTGGAAACGTTGAGCAGATACAGATAAGCGAATAAGAATCTCACCGGGTAGTTTGTAAAGCCTGCACGGTTGCCGCAACGGTAATACAGTATCCACTGAAGCAAGCAGTTCGGGTGCAACCGATCTCGCTAGCTTGCTGAAAAATGTTGATGATTTCACCAGAGGCTTCCATACAGGCTTTTTTGGAAGGGCACGTAATGGCTCGTAATCATAGGCGAAACTCTGTTACCAGAAACCGAATTGTGTATTATCCAGCACGCCGGAAAGGATGGATTTTTATATTCCCAGAACCCCCCCCCCCCCCAATTCCTCCCCGCATTCCACAGTCGAGGTTCTCTACCAATTCTCTCCTTTCGCCCGGTCTACCCCTTGCCCTCATGTCGAAACGTCGTTCTCATACACATCTACATGCAATCATTCGTCCGACCCAACGCATCTGTCCAAAGTGAATCGAAGTGATTGGGAAGAGGTGAGTTCCGTGCAGTCATAGATCTTTGCAGTCTAGGAACCAAATTTGATTGATCTCTAGATGACACAGAGACTGGATAATGTGGAACTTCGTCTTGCGAGTATAGACAATAAGCTGGAAAGGTAAGATTCATGACTACCGCATAGCTTCACTCTAAACTCAAACTCCATCTCTAGACTGCTCGAGCCACCGAGGGCACCTTATACACCCGTGGTAGCTGACACGGGCATCGTCGAATCTCTCGAGGGTCGCCAAGTTGGAAGACAAGTCACCTCTAACATAGAGGAGCCTTCCTATCCTATGCTCTCTCTGCAAGAGAGGATGAAAGCACAAACCTCCTTTCCGCCGTTTGAAGTTAAGCTAGCCTTGATCGACCTTTATTTTACTCACTGCCACAACAATCCATATTCCTTAGTCCATGAGAGACAGTTTCGACACAATTTTCACTCTGGGCAACTGAAGAATCATCTTCTACTTGCTGTTATGGCCAGCGCTGCTCGGTTCGCAGATATAGCGATGTTAGGTCGTAACCCGCTTGAGATGGCGGTATATTTTGCAGATTATGCGTGGCAGATTGCCAGTCTCGATTGCTTTTCAGGCTCTATGGATACGGATATAATCACTGTGCAAACAATGGCTCTTCTCGCTTTATTTGATTTCACTGGTCAGTTCACTAATTACACTCCATCCGGAAAATTTCTCACGAATTTACAGCCGGTCCTGAGAGGCATAACTCTGCATGGGTTAAGATAGGGCTCGCTGTCCGTCTGGCCCAAGATTTGCACATTATGGAAGAACCTGATGCCACATTGCCTGCGTCTGAGAAGGAGGAGCATCGGCGGACCTTTTGGTCTATCTATCTCCTCGAAAGTCTTGTATTATGTGGTCGTTACCGCCCTCCGGCTATCCTCGACGGTACCTTCTTGCTCAAACTGCCATGCAATGAACAGGCATGGCACTCTAACGTGGAAGAGCGGACACCAACTTTAAACGACTTCTGTAACCATCGAATTCCTGAGAATCAAAACTTGGGCCCATTTGCTATGGTCATCATGGCGGCCAGCCTTCTGAGTCGATGTGCACAGTATGCTTTGCAAAAGCAGCCTATTGGCTCCGATGAACCCCCGTGGCACCCTAAGTCTGGACATGCTGCAATTGTATCCAGCATGATGTTTTTGGAAGAACAGCTATAGCTAGGCGAACCATTGGAAGTATTACTCCAGAAGCACGCATTTTCAGATGGAGTATTTTATAACTCTCTCTCAGCCCCCCTTATTTTCTCACGCCTACTCTACCACCTATGCCGATGCCTCTTATATCATCCATTCCTTCTCCGGGAGCAGACGATTTCATCCCGAGATAATATCCCTAGTGTCTTTTGGAGCCATTCTAAAAACATGTGTATGGAGGCCTCTGATGAAATAGTTAATCTCGTTCAGCAAGCCAGCGAGGTCGGATGCACTCCGACTGCTTGCTTCAGTGGATACTGTGTCACAATAGCGGCAACTGTTCAAGCCCTACAAACTACCGGGGAGATCGTCCTAGGCATTTCTTTAGCTGCCGAACGACTTCGAAAATGTATCGAGCATCTTGAAATGCTTGGTAAATATTGGCACAGTGCGACGGTGATGATAAGCCAATCCATCCCAATCCATCTCTTCATTTAACTAACCAGCCAACAGAAAATGAAATTACAGCAACTCAACCATCGCATTCTCGATTTCTGCTGTCTTGTAAATGGTAATATCTGAGATCACCAATTGAGACCGCCGATCAAGAATTTCTGTGGGATCTTATGGACTACAGTACCCTTTCAAAAGCACATTCTGTTGCTACAATAGGAAACTTCGACGGGGCAGTTTTGGGTGCAGGATCTAGAGATCTATTTAATTTGACCTAAGGCCCCTCAGTGCCACCAGTCCGTTCCAAGTAAATATGCGTGAAAATGTATTATACATATCTGGTCACTGTATTCGTGTGGCCATCGGCGCCTCGAACAATGTCTAGCAGTACTCAAGTCTTTCAAAAACCAAATCTTTACATGCGAAGGGCAGCTTGTGAGTCCTAGGCAGTCGGAGACCACGTCCAAGTGACAGATAAGCCAGCCATTTTGCGCAGATTCCAGTACCATTCCAAATTAATGGAAAATGGTCTGCCATAAGATGGAAGATGCTACCGCAGCATTGGAATACATGGGGTAATAGTGAGCGGTGGGCAGAGTTCGTGACAACTTACTGAATGCAGTCTGTCATTAACGGCAAGACGTCCCGAGGTACGGCGGACGATAGTGGCCACCCGTCGAAAGTAGGCCTTTCCATACAATTTTGACGGCAGAAAAACTCACTAAGGCACATAGCTGCCTCTCAGCCTGAAAGGTTAGGCTAGTTATATCACGTTCTGCCCTTCTATAAGAATTTTGATATAGCCAATGAGAGACCTCGATTTTGACAGTCCATAACTTATTGAATTGGATTGATTTGGGCGTTTTATTACAAGAAAAACCGTTGATAACTACCCCTTCCCTTCAGCACTCACGTCCTTACCTACATCCTCCTGCGCACGTTTCGCTGGCTTCGCCGAACAGGGGAAGAAGTACGCTGTCTTCTCCTCGATGAATTTGCTCGACCGCTCGGGGCTAGGGCCACAGTAGCGACCCGGACCATATCCTCATCCTCATCCTCATCCTCGACCGGGGCCACCGGGGCCACAGCGGCGACCGGAGCTACATCATCATCCTCAAAAGTGATCCCGTGTTCAGCTGAATCCTCCTGGGCGAGCTCCACGGTTGTAGGTCTCCGTATCACAATGTGTATACGCCGTCGTCCAGTTGCCTTCTCCACAGAGAATCGCTGACAGAAGTCACGATATTTGTCAAATGGGCTAATACCGTGGTCAGTGACAAATTGTGCACGAAGTGGCCCCTTTCCACAACATGTAACTTCGCCAGCAAGAAGGAATTGATCTCCGTTCTTCTGCTCGTATCCAGATTGTTTCAAAATATTCCGATCGAGGCTCGAGATAAGTTCGCTGCCGAATATGTGGATATTCGTAAAATATTCGGCGGCAGGAAGCTCATGGAGGAGAACTCCTATAATATAATGAAATGAGCAATATTCTAGGTTCTAGAAGAAGAGCTTTTTACTTACCTTGGAGCCGTATAATATCCTTCCTGCCCTCCTAGAGGTAGAAGGTAACAGAGACGCGGATCTTGTCTTCTCCTGGGCTAGAGATTTCTCTCTGTGGTGTTTCTGCTACTTGCTCACTAGAGTCACTAACATGTGCTCGCTCACCACTCTGGCGATAAACTCGAGCACTTCGAGCAGCGCTTGTAGTTCTAGAGACAGAGGAGAGACAGGAGAATCGCGTATTTGAATGAGACTGGGCTACTGAAGCGCTTGTCACTGGCGTTGAGGGTATCGCTGGAGTTGGCGATATTTCTAGTGTTGGTGCAACTGAAGATCCTTTAACCGTAGCGCCTGGTGTGATTGTAAGTACTACCCCCAAAGCTAGGAGAGTAGCAATTGCATCGTTTAAATCGTTTGAGGACTGTGGAAGGGGCATTTTGATAAGACGGTGAGACGATGAGTCGATAAGAGGTAAAAATTGATGAAGGGTAGGGGGGATCGAGAGGCATTCAATTTCCTAGGGAGTCTGCAAAATTTTGAAATGGACTATGTATGTGAATAGATCCTGTCACCGGGAGGATACATGATTAGCACTCTTGGTACTGTAACAGGAAAGATCTACACTTACCTTGTGAATTATTACTTAGGTCTCGGTAGTCTCGGTATCTGGAGACCAAGAATATGCACTATAAGGTTTTGGGCATATATCTAGCCTAGGCTGTGCACCCGATTCGAAATGGCGAATCGCACGACGTCGAAGCTCTTCGTATACCACTCGGTACGGCTGATAACGATCACCACGAAGCTGAGTAAGAGGGTCTTCTGGGTTGAAGCCCTCGCTAGCGAGCTGCTGCCCAATTTCTTGAAGCTAGTGATAACACCAAGTAAATGTTGCTGATGGAAGAAATTCGGAAGGATCCCACTCAGAAATATCTTCTTGGAGTCTCTAAAGTACTTTGCTCAAATTGCTGCCTGTGGTCTTCTATATTAGCATTAGCATGATAGTAATTCATGACTGGCTTCCCTGGTACCACAGTTGGCCGATTAGGCTAGGCTCGAATAGGATAGATGTTGTAGGTATTAACGTAAGAATGAATTCGTGACCGTAGAATAGGCATATAGATAGCAAGAAGAGAAACCTGCTCCGGAATGTAATCTCTTGAAAAATGTCCTTCTTTCTGGAGCTTATGCAAGTACTCGTAGTAGAGGAAGAGACTCGATGTTGCGAGTTGTCCCCACCAGGCTTCAATTGGCTGATTTTCAACACTCCGACCGTAGAAGAAGCAGTCTCCAAGTTGGACTGTCGTACGATAACCGGGGAGATTATTCGCAGATCGCCGAAGGAGGAGATAGGTATCACCAAGTTGAACTGTCTCTGTACCAAGATCAACACGTAGTACTCGGGGTATAGAGCCATTCGACTGGGCAGCATCAAGATACTGGCGAAGAACACTGATAGCAGTACGGGCAGATACTTCTATATAGATCCGCACAATGAAACGAGAGTAGCCATCGATAGAAGCGTAGATCTCAAAGCCAAATTTCTCAAGCTAGCAAAATGTATTAGTAAATGTCCTATTCACTATGGAGAGGCAACTTACTCTCATATAACCATCAAGATGCCAGATCCAATTCGGTCCAGGGCAGGTCTATGCTCCTCGCCGGCGTTGAAGATCATACCGACGACGATCAATAGCCTCAGGGTTTAGTGTCCTGTACACCTCGAATATCAAATCGCGAGGAAGAAGGCACCCTGGCTCCGAAGGAACACATATTGTATTCGTCGTCCAAACCCTTCGATATCTCTAACAACATCCTCCACAATCAGGATCTCGCGAAGTTCATCAACCTGGCGCGCGCGCTCGGCGGGTTCGTCACACCGGATGCGAATACCGACGCGCTTTCGAATCCGCCGAAGAGTTCTGCTAGAAATAGCCTTCCCCTTCTTTGCAAGGACTTGGAGAACCTCATCTGAGTTGAGAGCCATTTTGTAGAGTTTTACAACAAGGCGATCGGTCGCTTCAGCTTCGGGAGACTGTACAGGACGACGACTGCCCCATTCGACTAGACGATAGCCAATAGTGCGCCCAGAGACAATGATTCCATGGTCATTGAGGAGGGCAGTTGAGATAGCCTCATCGGATTCACCGCGGCGAATCATGTTCGTAATATCATCTTTGTATGGGTCAAGATCGATTCGGGCCACCATACTGAGACAGATGATCAGGTTTGCAGAGGGAGAGAGATGCACAGAGAGAGATGCAGAGAGAGAGACGCAGAGAGAGAGAGACGCAGAGAGAGAGGCCTATTTCGCATACATTCGAAAGCAGACTGAATTACTTATTTCGGATGTTTCGATGCCTGGTTCATAAGGTATGCACTATACAGTCGGAATTACTGCCAGTGGGTCATTCTGGTGCACCAATACGATAACGTAACCCACAAGCGAACCGCCCACACAAGCGAACCGCCCACCCCATCAATTTTGATCTGAGTACTATAACCTCTCTTTTATAACCATCCACCATGCCACCAAATCGATCTAGTTCTGCCCGATTTTCGCAGGATAGGCAGGGCAGACTCTCATTAGCCCTGCATGCCATTCAAAATGGTCAAATTACCTCTATTCGCAAAGCAGCACGCCAATTCGACGTCCCCTGGTCCACTCTACGCGATCGCGTCAACGGTCAACAAAGTCGCTCAGAAACACGCGCCAACAACCATAAATTGACAGAAGACGAGGAGAGATCACTTCTACAGTGGGTGCTCTCTATGGATTCACGTGGATCAGCTCCTCGGCCTGCTATGGTGGCAGAAATGGCCAATCTTCTATTAGCCGAACGCTGTACGCAGACTGTTGGCGTCAACTGGGTCTACAACTTTGTTAATCGCCATGATGATCTTAAATCTCGGTTCTCTCGAAAGTACAACTACCAACGAGCAAAATGCGAGGATCCAAAGGTCATACGAGAGTGGTTCGACTTGGTTCAACGCACGATTAATGAGAACGGCATCCAACCTGACGATATATATAACTTTGATGAGACTGGCTTCGCAATGGGTCTTATTGCTACTGCAAAAGTCGTCACCCGTGCTGAATACTACGGTCGGAGATCTCTTAAACAACCTGGAAATCGTGAATGGGTCACATCTATCGAGTGTATTGGTGCGTCGGGCTTCAAATTACCACCTTGTCTTATCTTCAAATCCAAGACACATCACCAGGCTTGGTACGAAGATAAAGGGGTAGGACCGGACTGGAGGATCGAAATCAGTGATAATGGATGGACAACTGATGCTATTGGCCTTCGCTGGCTGAAAGATCTCTTTATTCCGAGTACGGCGAGCCGTACAAAGGGTAAATATCGTCTTCTAGTCCTTGATGGTCATGGTAGCCATTTGACACCTCAATTCGACCGACTTTGCGCTGAACATGATATTATACCAATTTGCATGCCAGCGCATTCATCTCATTTGCTACAACCACTAGATGTCGGGTGTTTTGCGAACCTAAAGCGCGCATATGGTGGCTTGGTTGAGCGAAAAGCTCGATGCAATATCAACCATATTGACAAGCTTGATTTCCTTGCCGCCTACCCGCACGCTCGCGAGATCTCATATCACTCGGAAATAATTCAGAGCGCATTCGAATCTGCTGGTTTAATACCCTTTGATCCCGATCGGGTTATATCGAAGCTTAATATTCAGCTTCGAACACCAACCCCCCCAGGAAGCCGACCAGGAAGCCGATCAAGTGAGTGGAGCCCTACAACACCACTCAACACAAAACAATTATATCGGCAAGAATTTTCAGTCAAAGCTCTACTCAAATATCGATCCGTGAGCCCTCCAACGCCTACAAAGCATGTGGTAGAGCAGACTCTTAAAGGCTTCCATGTCACGCTTCAAAGGCTAGCGATGTTGGAGAAAGAAATCCGGGATTTGCGCGCTGCCAATGAGGTTCGGAAACAAAAACGCAAGAGGTCTAATAAACGCATCGACCGTACTGAAGGCATGTCAATTCAGGAGGGAAGAGACGTAATATTCAGTTCGAACCAAGCCGTTGAATCTCTGGATCCTGTTCATCCAGAACTAGCTCCGGTCGCAAATGAGACTAATACACCACGACAACGGGCGCCACCAAGATGCAGTGGTTGTGGAGGGATAGGGCATAAGATAAATAGATGTCCGAAGCAGTGATATCAATAATTTAATGGCGTTGTGGTTATTTTATATGCAAATCAAAATTATAGGTTGAGATGGGTGGGCGGTTTGCTTGTGTGGGCGGTTCGCTTGTGGGTTACGTTATCAACAGGTCTGAATTGCTAACGTAATTCCCGCCCGAGTGGCCCACCCGGCCCTGTGGCCCACCACGCTCACTATAATATTTTCAAAACAGATTTTGACCACCAAAACGCTGGTATAAATTTAAATATAGCTATTTCTACGCTGATTTATCTTATGGCCTATCTCCCTACACCCACTACACCTCGGCGGGGCCCTCTGCGCGGCCTGCAGAGTCTTAATAGCCTCTGTAGGCTCAGTGTGCTGTATAGCATCCGCCGGTGTTTCTCGCTCCTCAGCCAACGCCTGAACCTCTTGAATGGTTAATCCGCCTTCATCTGGTATCTGGCGTCTGGACTTAGCAGATTTTTTGATTTTTTCTCAAGCGCAGCGCGAAGGGTAGCGTTTTCCTCCCTTAAAAGTATTTCCCTATGAAGAGAGCCTGCATAGCCTTTGAACACCTGTTCAAGCTCGGATTTTAACGGGCTTTGAGGGCTTCTTGATCGTTGTTTGAGGCGGGCCTTGATCGAAGATGCCTGTTTCTGAAGCTTTTTTAGTGGTTTTCGGTGTTTTTGGGCTGAAAACGCTAGATCTGCTGCTAGGCCGGCTGCTAGGTGGTGTAGGCGTATTAAGCGATATATTTAGCTTTTTAAGCACTCGCTCTGCGTTGATAGGCACTAGACCTGCTGCGGCGAAGCTATTTTGAATAATCGCTGGCTTATAGGCCTCCGCGCGCGCATAAGGATATGCTGCTAGAAAATCTAGCTTGTCGATGTGGTTATATCCTATACGCGCTTGGTTCTCAATAATGCGACCGTATGCGCGCTTTAGCACTGCAAAACACCCAATATCAAGCGGTTGTAATAGCGCGCGGCGGCCATAGTAGTCAGCGCGTGTGACTACTTTAGCAGTAGCTATTAGTCCCATAGCGAAGCCAGTCTCGTCAAAATTATATATATCCTCTCGTAGTATACCGTGTTCGGTAATCACGCGTTGAACGGTGGCGAACTATGCGCGTAAGGCCTTCGGATCTTCGTTTTTGGCACGTTGATAGTTATATCGCCGTGAGTATCGCGTATGAAGGGCTGGCTGGCGACTAACGAAGCTTGATGCCCAATTTTTGCCGACCGTAGATATAGTACTATCTCCACGCTTCGCGAGAAGGAGTTTGGCCATATCTCGAACAGTAGAAGGCCTAGGCGCTGCTCCACGCGCATCTAGATCTAATATCCACTGCACAAGCGAAACCTCTTCTGTTTGGGTCAATTTATGGCCGCTGGAGCGTGTATCCCCGCGAAATTGCTGGCCAACGAGTCGGCGGCGAAGGGTCGTACGAGGTATACGAAATCGCTCTGCGATATCGCGTATAGAGTCGGTAAAGCCATTTTGAACGTGTTTAATAGCTAGAAGGATCCTGCCTTCCTGCTCAATAGATTTTTGCGAGGATTGAGCACGTTTTGGAGGCATGGTGAGTGTTTGAAGAAGGAAGATGGTCATACGAGCGCGTCTTAGCGCGTAGTGGGCCACAGGGCCGGGTGGGCCACTCGGGCGGGAATTACGTTATAAAGCCCCGAACTGGCAATTTGGATGGGCTCAAAAAATACATGACTAATCATCGGATCTACAGTATCTCCTTCCATCCGGTCTCCACTACTACTGCTGTTCCGACACATCTTTTATGCCTTAGTGCCTGATTTGTGCTTTAATCCAGGCATATTCAGGCAAAGAGGGGGGGGGGGTCAATTTAGTAATCCCCTAATTATATACTAGCACCGTTTTTTATCTTTAAATATTGTATTGTGGTTGTGTTATTCCATTCCATCGAATGGCCATTTTCTGGGGGAATACACACGTGGCCGCTTGCGGGCGGTGACCTCCCGCAAGTGAAATACACTATCTGTCGCAGCTAGCTGATACAGTATGGCATTGTATGCAAGAATGGGGCTAATCTACCAAGGGGAACCAATCCAAAAAGATAGGATGAATTGATTGAAGAAAAGAAGAAAAGAGCGGACGCTGCGAGGACACGTTAGGGTGTCCTTGCTTACATGAGTAGGGTGAGGGGTTGAACCTCCCGATCTCGGAGTGTCGAGAATCCCCTAGTACAAATGAAGATATCACGACACTAACGGAACTAAACTATTTCGGGTGCTACCCCACTATCCTCGACACTATCTAATCCCAGTATCTCCTATCGCTCCACAGCACGGATAGTTACTCAATGTCAATCGGCTTAGAAACTCCGATATTGCATATTTCCGTTAACTTCCTCCCCACAGGGTATTTCTATCATCTGTCTAGTTTTAGCGTCCTCGTGAAAGAGAGTGTGTTAGCATGTCTATGCAGCCAGATCATCGCCAACGGCCGCGACACGATGAAGCGAAAGAGTTCGTGCTCCAGCTTGAAATCTGTTCGTGTCTCCTGATACTGACCAAATGCCATCACAGACTCCTGGGATCCGTGTTCCTTATGGGCTTTGAGGGTACTGCCGTCACACCTCATATTAAATCTCTGATTGAAGACTACCGTCTAGGCGCTGTCCTTCTGAACACCGAGAACTTGGTTTGTATGTCAGCACTCTTGGCACATAGAGGTAGACTTGTCATTTAGCTTGTCGGAATACGCTAACGGTTGGTACCATTTGGTCTCCGAGTAGCTGCCGAACAAGCAACCACTTTAATTCGAGATTTGCAGATCATTGCTCACGAAGCGCGTCATCCCTATCCTCTCCTTATTGCCGTGGATCAAGAAAATGGGCTTATCAAATCTGCCTCGGATCCAGATTGGATCACACAGTTCCCGTCATCTCTAGGTGTTGCTGCCACAGGATCAACGAGTAGCGCCTATACGGTAGCCTTGATGACTGCCCGAGAGATGTCTTTCCTGGGAATCAATTGGATCTTGGGGCCTGCGCTGGACGTGATACTCGACAGGAACGTCCCAGGCTTCGGATCTCGATCTTTCGGAGGTGATCCCGAAGAGGTCGCAAAAATGGGCACCGCATTCATCAGAGGTCTCAAAGACGGCGGCGTCGCATCTCTTGCCAAACACTTCCCTCTCGGCGGTAGCCTGAAGTTTGACGAGTCCTCAACCACAGTTCCCGTGGTCTCTGAAACGCTAGAGCAACTTCGTCACAAAGTTCTCGTACCCTTTCGAGAGGCTATCAAAAATAATGTCCCTGCTATCATGGCTTGCGGCGTCGCCATATCATCTCTGGGTCCTAGACTACTTCATGCATGCTTTTCGAGGAAGATAGTTACGGAACTTCTGAGAGAACAGCTGGGGTTTGAAGGCGTGATCGTCTCGGAGTGTCTCGAAATGACATCCATCGCACCTAACATAGGCGTTGGTCAGGCCACCATCATGGGAATCCGTGCCGGTTGCGATCTCCTCACCATCTGCCGGTCGCTCTCTCTGCAAGTGGAGGCATTCGCGTCCTTGTCTCTCGCTCTGGAAAATGGCGGTCTGTCATGGGACTCGATTCGAAAGGGCGCCGAACGTGTTATGAGGTTACGTGCGGCGCACACTTCCTGGTCTCGAGCCTTAAATCCCGGAGGATTAGAGCAGATGGTACCTCATCGCCTAAGCCACCTCACATTCGCGACACGTGTGTACGAAGATTCAATTACTCTCATACGAGATGACGCAGGCAATATCCCTCTCACGAAGGTCCTGTCCGATTCGAGCACGGTCCTAGTTCTCTCGCCGCTTCTAATGCATAGAGCGTCTGAAGGAGCAAGCACCACGACAAGTTGTCACCCTCTGCCGATAGCTCGAGAAACTTCGAATGCAGTTGTTTTACAAAAAGGAGAAGACTACTTTCAAAATTTTGGTCTTGCACTGGCTTGTTATGGGCTCGGCCAAGTACTGCACACTTCCTACACGTCTCATGGCGTTCGTGAAGAACACGAGAGGCTCATCGACGACGCCGATGCGATCATCATATTCGTTGCCGATGCCTTGCGCAACCAATACCAGGTTGCCTTTGCAAAGCACGTCGCCGCAATTTGCAAACTCGGAGCCTTAGACAACAATCGGCCCAAGCGGCTTATACTAGCCTCGGTCAGCTCGCCCTTCGACTTTCCCGCGGAAAAGACCTGGTTTGGGACACTTCTCTGTACCTACGACAGTAGTATGATTGCGCTACACTGCCTAGCCCGTGTGCTAGGGGGCGATATTGCCCCAACGGGCCGTCTCCCAAGACTTGGCTCGGCCAGAGAAGTGAATACTGCGGACGGAAACCATCACCAGACATGGCTGGTAGAGCAACTCAATTTAGCGAAGGACCAGCCATGGCTTCTAAGATTCTTCAAGGAAGCGGCGGAAGACAATCCGGGTGGAAGCAGCCCTAGAGAAGATTTTTATTCTCTTCTCCTTCCATGCTATTCAGAAAATCTGCGACGACCCTTTGATAGCAGACCACCAGTCGACTTTCAGGGTTTCGTCATTCGCAACACAAGTACCAGAGTTATTTATGGTTTTGCTTCCGCTCTGTACTGGCCCCATCTCCAACGAGGATTTCTTGGAGATGTTTTGGTCCATCCGGAACGGCGGGGCTTGTCTATGGGACGAGATCTGTGCACTTCAGTCGCGAAATATATTACCCAGAGGTATCAGATTGACCGCATACAGTTCGGATGCCCAATCCTGGCCACTACTCCAGGAATTCCCCTTCCGGAAGACTCCAATTCCCCTTTAAATTTAAGATTTTTCAAATCTCTGTGAGTAGTATCTTCGGACTATTTAAAATGACCTTTACGCTTGAAAAACATGTCTGATACAGCAGGGAATTTTTGAGTGGCTGGGATTTCACTCTTAACATGAACACACCCAGACTCGCTTCATTTCGCAATGGAGATCTTCATTCAACATACGAACGCTTTGTTCAAAGAGCTTGGACAGGTCGACCAGGTGCTGAAAATCTCCTCATCGAGCGAACGCAAAGCATACGTTGTCATCGAGAGATTTTGGAGCTGGTTCGTGACACTACCGCCATAGAAACAAGAAACTACTGGATTTTGTCTTTGATCAACCAGGACCTCAATTCAAGCAACGAAGAGAGCTTGATGTCGGATGAAAACCTCCAGATATTGGATCAACCGGGGTTAATCGTGACTCTGGCAGAGTCGGGTCGCGCCGTGGCATTCCTCCCCCTCGTTGCTCGAGAGTGCCCTCTCGCACGTTATATTCCGAGCCTTCGAGCATTGCCTGCATCAACCCTTGCTCTTTTATGTCCTGTTATCTCGCAGTCAGCATCACCAGAGGCACTTTCTCGGAGAGACATTCTACAGCAGTTGCTCGTTGTCGCTGTCGGCGATGCAAAGCGGCAAGGAGTGGAGACGCTCGTCGCTCATGCGGTACGTTGTACTTCCAAATGTTTCTGTCCCGAAGACAGCTGAGCTTATGAGCGCTGTTTTGATGTCATAGATACCCACGTCGGATTTGTTTGCAGAAGTCCTCATGGATACCGGTTTCGAGCGGGAGGCAACCTTTGCTGTCCTCAACAAGACTCTGAGCGACACGTAGAACTAGAATGTGTACGGATACTTGAAAAAAATACGATCAACATATTCGACGGTCATCTATCTGATTGTAATGGCCCATGAATTTCTAGATGTCCACAGGCTCTGGGCCCCTCATTCAAATCTTGACAGCACTCACGATCAAACTGCGTAGTTACTCTTTTCGTGTAAAACACCTCTTACCGAATTTCCATACTTCGTCAACTTGAAGCTCTCGTGAGTTTTTTTCTCCCTCTGACCATGACAAAACGACCAGATCAGCGTCAGCCCCGACCTTGAGAGTTCCTTTTGTGTCTTCACACCGAAGCATTCGAGCAGGAGTAGCTGTCACCGTTTGTAGTGCCTCGGCCGCTTCGCACCCAGTCCAACGAATAAGGTTTGAAACACATTGTAGTAACGTTGTTGTTCTAGAAGAGAAAAAAAGACGATTACGTGTTAGTCTCGTTCGATGCTGCCTGATTTTATGCAATCATATGACATGATTAATGCAGTAGACTTACCCGCCAGCAAGTGTATCTGTCCCCTCAAGAAAGAGTTTCTCGCCCTTCTTGACAACCGTTCGACCATGTGTCCACTCGAACGTTCCGTCTGGAAGATCGAACCCGGTCGCTGCGGTGCCGTCCGTGGTGAGAATGCAGCCGTTCTTGTGCACCGCCCAAGCCATCCTCGCGCAACTAGGCGCGACGTGAACCCCGTCAGCGATGAGTCCGAAGAAGGGCCTCTCTATTGGCGGAGTTGAGAGGTCGGTCTCTGGTGCACCGATGAGCCCGACGAGCCCAGGACTACGATGCAGGCAAGGTTCCATCGCATTGTACAGGTGTGTGAGCATATTGGCACCAGCCCGCACGGCAGCGAGGCCTTCCTCGTATGTAGCCGGCGAGTGGCCTAACGAACAGACGATTCCATACTCCCGCGTCAATGTGCGAATGGTCTCTAACATCCCCGGAAGCTCGGATGACAGGGTGATCTTTCTGATTGCAGAGATCTGTTGACCAGCATTTTCTTTGGAGATGGGGGCCCCAAGACTGTCGACTCCATAGAAGCCTAGAATGCTCTCTATTCTCTTGACGGGCTCCAGGAGAAGGTCAGGAGGATGAGCTCCCTTCCTTTCACGGCTGAGAAACGGCCCTTCGCAGTGACACCCTAAGGACTCCGCCCCTAACTCGTGGTCTCGTTGTGCACCATTAGGGCGGACAATAGGCATGGCCTGTAATAAAATTCAGCTGAAGATAACATGACGGGAAGTATTCAACAAGAAGAAATTTCAATCCCAAGAAACGGATTGTCCAGATGTCTTGCGGTTGATGGAGTGGCATTACGACTTACAATCTTGAAGGTTTGAGCTTCAGAAGTTACCAGTGTTGGAAGGAAGCTCGTGACACCCATTTCAAGGATTCCTTGGGATGTTCTCCGGAATGATGACGCATAAGACTCCATGTTATCCACAGGAACGTCCGAGAAGTCAAACCCCTTGGCTCCGTTCAGCTGCACCTCTAATAGGCCCGGCGAGAGGATGCGACCGTTCAAGTTCACGACCAGGGCCTTATCAACGCGAGGATCGCTCTCATCGATGATCTTTCCTGTGCCGGTATCAATGAACAAGTCCTCCCGCTTGGCCTGACCGCAGCACGCCAGCACACAGTTGGTGAAGCGGACGATCGATGATTCGGTTGCCATTGTGTTTTTCTTCAAGGTGGTTCTGATCTGATCTAGAGCAGGCGTACTGATATCCGTACGTTATCTATCGCTTCACAAAATCGGACAGGGGAGAGCTAAGTTAGGAGGCAATGAGTAATTTTCCTGCGCTGAGGTGCAGCCTCCCCATTCCTCTTCATGTCACCCTGCCGACAGCCTCCGTCCCACAGACTGCAAATCTGTGATCATGAGGTGAACGAGCCATAGCGAGAGATATCACTTGGAACTGGATTTTGATTGGACCGTCGGAGGAGGCTCTTGCCCCAACGAGGCTACAACCTAATGACCCGCCGTACCACCGTTGCACAAGTGGGGCATGGAAACATGAAGAAGGCAGCTTTGTTGGGGGAAAACAGTACGGACAAAGGAAATGTTGCGTTGTTTGGTCTGTCGTACTCTCGTCTCCACTTTGTGTGAACTAGATGATCAAACACACTCGGGTTCCACCTCATGGTATTTTGCACGGCACAAGAGAGAATGCTGATGATGTCGGTCTCAGTTTTAGGGAGATAAGACACGTCCCCAAGGCGGCTCGCCATCTTCAGCCATGCCTCATTCAGTCAGACAATGTAGGTAGCCGGTAAATTCAGACTCGTCTCAGTTCTCACCGCAGCCGCTTCATGATGCAGTGCACGTCCAGCCCGGCCGAAGCGCCCGCAAAACTATCATCGCCCCCGACATCAACCACCAAACAGCAGTTCATCGACCATGTGGTTTCAAGCTTCACGGTGGCCCTCGACGCTGAAACGCTTTATGAACAATCATATGAACTCACCCGGTCGTTGAGGAGTAAGGTGGATCTCCCAGACTCATTAGCCATGCTACCTTCCTTCGTCGACCATCTCCCGACTGGCAAAGAGCAAGGAGACGTCTTAGCCATTGATATTGGAGGGTCCAACATGCGAGCTGCCATCGTGTCTCTGGAGCCATCCGCAGTCAATCCAATAAACCGGCTCAGAGTCCGAAAGCATCAAACTTGGGCGATCACAGTGACTGTCAAATCGCTCTCGGGCTCGGAATTCTTCAGCTGGATAGCGACCAACATCCAGAACTTTCTATATGAGCTGATGCGGGCTGATCTGGGCTTCGAGCTTGCTGCCCTCCCTGCCGGCCTCGTGTGGTCCTTTCCACTGGAGTAGGCGTATCCCGCTCCTTTTGCTGACGTCAGAATATGCCTAACATGAGCTGAACAGACAATTTGAGCTTAGCGATGGAAATCTTCGGGAGATGGGGAAAGGATTTGTCGTTGGCCACGAGCTACAAGGGCAGTCGATTAAGAAATGCATGGACAAGGCATTTGCGGAAATGGTGTGTTAATTCCTCGCGGCTCGCAGTTGTCTGGCGCCAATATCGAATCTGACGTTATCGTACCAGGGCCTCGAGATCCGGTTAGAAGCTATTTTGAATGATAGCGTGAGCGCGCTGCTCGCTCTGTCCTACGTCGATCCCTCTACCGAGCTTAGTATCATAGTAGGGACCGGGTTCAACGGCGGACTGCGACTACCGGCAACTGCTTTCAACGCCTCGAAGCTGAGACATCGATCAAACCGTCAAGAAGATGCGACGCGAAAGAACCTGGAGATTCTCGTTGACGCTGAGCTCTCCGTTGTAGGGCAAGGAATTCTCCCTCGTGTAAGAACGACGTGGGATTCTCGGGTAGCCGCTTTGTCGCCATTTGGGCCCGACGTACTCGGGTTGGAGCTTCAAGTTGGAGGGCTGTTTCTCGGTGAGCTCGTTCGCCAGGTAGTTGTCAACGCGATCAACACTGTCGGTTTGTTTGATGGGCATTTGCCTGACCTGATTCAAGCACCCATGACTTGGGAACTGCGCCATGGTGCAATACTGGAAAGGTAAGAGGAGCCGTTGTCTAGTTTTTGTTTGTACGCCGCTAACTAAGTTTTGTGAAGATCTGAGCTGACAGCAGCGGACGTCGACCTGCCACAGTCCGTTGCAGAATCCTTCGGTCTTCCTTTCAAGCCGTCCCTGGAAGACACCTGCCTGGTGCGGCAAATCTGCCAAGCAGTGACAGAGAGAGCTGCTGCATATGTCGCGGTTGCAGCTTACTCGATGAGAAGTCTTCAGGTTCTATGTCGAGATGTAGAAGATGACGTAATTGGCATAGACGTATCGAAAGTGTCTTGCCTCGGTTCTGTTATCGAAAAGTACCCAGGCTTCATGAACAAGAGTCAGGAATATCTCGATCAACTTCAGCGGGTTTCCCCGATGTCTGGGCCGAAATTCGGTGGTCTCCAACTTCAAGCATGCTCCAATTCAAGTCTGACAGGTGTAGCCGTCGCTGCCCTGTTAGGAAAGATGCCAGGGTCTGATACAACGAGCACTACAATATCGTCTCCACCGCCGCCGGACGCCTTGGGAAGAACGAACTTGCCGGAACCATGTGTTGCTGTTGACAAGACGACTGAGGATTTTGTTCAGTCGATGAGCGAAGGCTGCGGCATCGATGAAGATCTACCAGGAAAACGACTGGGCATCTGGGCTTGGTTTCGAAGATTTGTTCGTTGTCGCGGGCGTGCGTAGATCTTGACAGTTGTTAAAAAATTACATTAGAGCGAGCCACAAAGTGTCATCGTCGTAACACGTTGAATGTATCATGTGGAACAGTCTATGTTCTTATACCCTAACTCGTTTGTGCTCTAGGTGCGTGTAGTATGGTTTGGTACGATACAAATCCCCAATAACTTCCGAACCCCTTACAATATGAGACCAAGGATGTGGCCAGTAAACTGGCTCAATAGGAGGCTGCCAGCCACTGATGCCGATGGGTATGTACTTATAACGGGATTGGATCTCGCCAGATGTTCTTGGGGTGCTATTTGGCTCCGTGCGCTGCTTCTTAGAGGCATCGCTTGTCTGTCCTTCGACGGACACAGTAGATGTAGTCGCACCCCTAGGAGATGATGTATGCTCTGGTAAGGCGGAATGATCTGGGGTAAATGCCGAAATAGAAACCGAATCTGCGGGAAGAAGTCCATGTCCAGGGCCTTCGTGGAGACCAGGTGCCCAAGACACTTCATCTGGGTTGAGTTCGGCGATGGCACCTTGTCTACATGGTGCGGCCATAGACATGAGATGATGCCCCGACAACTGCCTGTAGTCTGGGGTATCGGTAACACAGTGCTGACTCTCATAGCCTGCACAAACAATGTCTGCCTCTTGCTCCATTGGTTGTTCGGTGTCCAGAATGCTAGTCGAAGTTGTGAGCAGAGACACACTTGGATTCATCCAGTCCCACATCGTTTGGGAATAAACGAGTTCTTGAGAAGGATCGCTGAATATATATGAAGCATACGGATCGAAAAACGAGACTTCTGGAGTTGACGTCCAATCTGAAGCCGAAGGGCCAGGAAGATGCATGTCCAGTCCAGTCACATCGTTTTCGGGCTGGTACAAATCCAATCCAGGCACCTGAGACGCTTCAGATGCAGCAAAGCTCTTTGGGCTTCGGCCCCGGACAGTCAGAAAGGATGATGCGAGCTCGGCGATGAGAATACACGTCCCGTCTTCCTTCGATCCCAATATTGCGATAATCACCTTGAATTGCTGTCGAATTTCTTTCCTTCGCTTGCCATTGTTTGCTGTGGCCGACCGAAACTGAAGTCTCTCCCATGAGAATTGAATCTCGAGATGCTCCGAGCTCGTCCCAGAGGCATCTCCATCTCGACTCGGCGGAAGCAGGGGGATATCAGCTGGCCGCGCACCCCTTTCAGTTGTAGCATTCGATCTGTTGGCGCCTGAGGTGATAGTAACCTCGGTCGAATCCCAAGATTCCACAGCTTTGAGCCGAGCAAACAAGCCCGTGATCTTGGAATCTTGTCCGCTAGGATCGCGAACCATCCCGGATGGCAATGCCCATGTCGGCCATTCGTCAATCGAAAGCAATCCAGCAACACTAAATAGATTGCGTCGGTAACATGTCAGGAAATCCCCGTCGTTGCCCCCTTCCAGGGGCTCCTTAGCCAGAAGGAACCTCCCGCCAAGGCGTGCTCTAGGAAGAAAAGAGACACGTTGTCCATTCTTGCCGTAGAGTATGGAATCAGGCGTTGCCTGCATGGGGAGGAAGTCTAGCCAAGTTTCTGGGACATGACCTGCTGATTCATCGCCCAGTGCTGACATTATGGCCAGGGTTGATCAGTGAAAGCAGCATGAGAGAAATAAAGAACGAATTTATTGACCGAGAACAAGAATACGACGTGAAATGCCGGCCCTGGTGTCCGCGATGATCTGACTGATTGAGATGCGTGACGGGATGAGATGGGGTTCCCGATAACGGTCAACTAGTTAGTTAAATAACCGGGTAACGTGATTATTAGTAATCGGCTGGAGCGTTAACATAACTAACCCCCGCCCAACCGGGCCACCCCCCTGAACGGGCCACCCCAAACCACATACTAAACACGATTTTTGTAGTACCTTATATTTCAACGCTCAGGGCTTATTATCTCGTCGTAAGATATTATATGTTTATTGTACGATGAAAAGTAACCTCTCATGTACGAGAAATATTTTAGAGGGTGATAAAATAGACATATGTATCCACACCCACGAAATTTCGCGAAATATCACGTGACCCCCAGGATATCTGAGATATCTGATCGCACCCACCCATTTGACCCCCATCCCGCGCAAGATATCTGACCGCAGATCGAGCCTGCGAAATCTTGGCAGTAATCCTGAAGCCAGGGATAGCTTCGTACGCGCCCTTACGGGGCTATGACAGTACCTTACGATGAATCAAGGGAGGGGGGGGAGGGGGGATTAGGGATGATGGGGATAGGCGGTAGGAAGGGTGGTAAGAAAGGCAGCTGGTTACTGTGTGAATTCCGCGTCGCGTTCCTTCCTCTCTTGTCATTACTCCTACCTATACGCATCTCATCATCAAGAGAAAGAGAGAAAGAGAGAACACTATTTCGAACCTAATCAAAAATGGCTTTATCATCACCTTCTACTCCCTGCTCCTCTCCTCCATCATCACAGACCCAGGAGCTAGCGCAGATTGAGCTCCAGGACCGATTAAACCTCCACAGCATCAAAGCCCTACACTACATGCGAAGCCAGCGGCCTAAGAATACATCCAAGGCTTATGTTAACAAGCATAAGGAATGGCAGGTAAAGGAACACCCTTGTGACCTTGTCTCTAGTTCGTACGAGAAGCTAAACGAGATGCTACAGAGCTTCTGCAAAAAGCAGGGCTTCCCAGACGGCGAACTAGTCACAGAGAAGAAGCTTGTCTACTTTCTTGACACTGAGGTTCTTAATCGACCTCTTCGGTCCTCTCAATATAAGAAGGATCGTACACGGCCAGATGGATCAAAGGTAGAACAAACCCTAGGAAGCAATTCAATCACTCAATATATCAATGCTATTGTGGACCTCTGGAAGTTCCAAAAAAGCATTGGTACGAATAGCTTCCCTAACCCCCGTGGATATGCTGTTTCCGCCTTGATGACTGGCCGACTACATAAGGAAAGCGAGCGAAAGCGCGAGCAGTATCTTGACCGAGCTGCAGGCACCCTGCAGGATGGATATTCCAAGGATAAAATCAAGGACTTCGTACGATACTGTTGGCAAGGATGGCGAACAAAAGATCTTAAGCATCGAAAGCCTCAAGCTCAGGAGTCCTATCTTCGCACGGCCGTGGATTTCCTTTTCAGTCACAATATGCTCCTTCGTGGAGAATCGCGCCGGCAACTCCAGTTTCCTGACCTGTTCACTATCTCCTTACCCAACGAAGGACCGACCCCCTGTTGGCCAATGATCATGATTATGAATAATGGAAAGACTAACCAGTTTGGCCGCTTGCAGTATATGGGGGTAATGCGCCATCAGGATCCTCTCCTTTGTACGATGAGCCAGGCGGCTTTTTATCTCTTTTATCGCTGGCAGATAGTAGGGGAGTCGCCACCTCGGTTTCGGAGCCGACCAGAGTGGTATAATTTCCACTTCTTCAAGGGCTCAGATCGAGAGAAGCCAATCTCGTACGAAATCCAGCTGAAATGGGCCAATGAGGTCTATAAGGCAATCAATCTCTCTACCGACAAGAAGACACATGCAGGCCGAGCTCAGGGGACAAAACAAGCCGAGCTAGAAGGCGTGGAAGAGAACCAGATCCGCCGTGCTGGTCAATGGAATCAGGATGCCTTAACTAACTGCTATCTGACGCATCTGCCGCGGAAATTCCTTCGTTCTATGGCTGGTTTCCAGCCTGATGCAATTGGGAACTACTATCTTCCTCGAGCAAAAATTCAACCTCCAGATTCCCTCGTACGAGCTCTCTGGCCATGGATCGATCAGTGGCTTGCCTGGTTCCAGTCCAACGATCCTACAAATGAGCCACCTAGCGGGGCTACTAGTCAGGAACAGGAAGACCGAGATGATATGGCAGCCCAAGGCTTTTTCCGGCTACTGAATCAACTACGGATCATCCTCCTCCAGGACTCGGTTCTCCTACAGGCGCAATTTCCCCGGCATTCAATGTGGGATGACCCTATTTTTGCACGAGAAGACTATACTGCATTTGCAGAGCAAATACGGCAGTCCCTTCTTTGTACGGAGACCCCTCAGGAGATTCAGCTCCGGCAGACGCTTCCTATTATTGCCGACCGTCTTAGTGTCCTCCAGAAGGATATCCATCAGGTGGTTGATCTTCATGGTTATCAGGCCCATGAACAGCTTAGAAAGATTTCTCGCCAGCTTCATGATCTCCTTTCTGGTCACGTTACCTTTGCCGTACGAGCCATGGATACCTCTATTATCGAAGCGCGGACACCAGACTCGGACTCATTCACACCGTCCTCTCAGCTAGCAGCATGTCTATCGGAGGCATCATCTTTGCAGCCTCCTGTAGATAAGCAGCAGCTTCTCCCACAGGGGATCGATACTCCCTCCTCTTTATTATCCCCCTCTCGGTCTCTCTACTCGCTCTCTCGTACGATACAGACTGTGCCGGAGGTCTGGAGAGAATGGACATGTGGGTTAGGTGCAAATCCATCTGTCCAGTCATTAGAGAGATCGTATGGTGCGACCTGGCGGCCTTCCTCTCGCGAAAGGGTCATGTTTTGCCGCCGAAAAGTTATCATCGACGAGATCTACGCTAGATATGGTAAGGGCCTGTCTCTGGATGCAGCTGTTGAGGAGCTAGAGCTTGTACGGTGCAGAGGCAAGCTTTCGCTTTACCAGCTATCTCAGCTTCTCTCAAAAGCTCGCTAGCGACTCTATAGTGAATTGATTTTTGATTTTCTGCCGGCAGAAGAAGGAGGGGGGATTGGAATGTAAAAACGGCCCTCTTACAAGGTCAATACAGAAATCTGACCCCCATTCCATGGGTCATGTATTGAGGGCTTGGCGGTTTCGCCATAATAACGCGCGAAATTACGCGGCAAATCTGACCCCCATATATCCTCTATGTATAGTAAGTGTACTGTTGATGTGTGGCCCACTCGTTTCGGTGGCCCACTCGTTTAGGAATCACGTTACTGGAAGTTGACTGTATTCAACCGCAGGCAACTACTGGCATCGGCTGAGTGAATGAAGATATGTTGCGAGAGCTGTAAGCTGTACGCTGTACGCTGCGGATGAAGGTATTTCGGAGCATTGGAGATGGAGAATAGTGGAGTAAGCTGAGGTCGATGATTCGATTTATATTCCTCGATGCGGCGTGCTCGGTCTTGATGATGAGTTGATGACGTTCGGACGGAGCATGAGAGCCCGTTACAGTCAACTCTCGCTTATGGCACACCCCACCATCCAACAGAATTTGCGTGCCATAAGTGAATTGTGCTTATTGTGATCGGATGACTAATTTGGTTATATTGATCGACATACATTAATTCCTAATTAGGAAGTCATCCAATGTCCTCTGTTTCCTCCCATCCAACTGTAGCCTATTGAATAGACGTTCTAACCCCTCTATTTGACGTATATTTTCCTCAGTAGTGCCCTCTTGATGCTGAGCCCATAGGAGAGCTTTCTGAATACTATTAATAGCCTCAGCACCAGACGGAAGCTCTATTGGTGGTCCACATATATATTCGTCATCCTGGTCATCATCATTACCACCATCACCACCACTACCCTCACCAGATATGTCGGCGATGATATCAGATAAATCAGGCTCACCGAAGTCATTTTCATCTGATGGATTTAAGAAATTATCCAATGTCATGACTGTATGTGTATCGCTATCCACATCTGCAGGAAACCGGTTGATTACGCTCTGGTATAGAGGCATTAATTCAAGCGGTTCGGGCCTTGGCGCACTTTGTATCTGATCAGTGCAGCGACTAACGATAGTGCTCTTAACAAAGCAGTTCTGTATAGTCTGATCAAGAACATCATTTCGCCAGGCCTGGGTAAGCCAGCGGAGGGTGTAATTGAGGCTCATTTTCTTGTTCGGATCGAGGTTCCGGTCAAGGATATTAATCATCCATATCATCCATTTCCTCCGATAATGGTGCTTTAGATTTTGGATGATTCCTTGATCTAATGACTGATAAACCGATGTCGCATTTGCTGGGAAAAATACCACCTTGATATTAGATGGTGGCGGTGCGTCTTCAAGCGCACATAGATGTGCGCTAAAATTGTCTAGCAAGAGCAGAACGCGTCGTTGCTTGCCAATATGCTTATAAAACGCGCGAAGCCATTCACCCATAATACCACTGCGCATTCACGCTTTCCTATTCCAGCGCCAGGTACATCCGATAGCTCGGATATTTACCCCCCGAAGAGCGCGTGGTGTCTTTGCTGTACCGATCAGCCATAGAGGCACTCGGTCTGATCCAGTAGAATTCGTCGAAACCACTATAGTGATTCGGGCCTTATCTCTCTTTTGACCAGCATAACCATCTGTTGATAGACCACCGTTTGGCATACGGCGCCAGTAAAGCCCAGTTTCATCCATATTATATATATCCTCTGGTTGATATTGACTGCAGATCGCCTGAATAGGTTTTATCTCATCGTGTATCGAGGTTGGGACTGATGCAGATTCACCGTGGAAGGTATGGTAATGGAGGGAATGACGTTGTTTAAACCGAGTAAGCCACCCATCAGAGAAAAGGGGCACTGGACGTTCAGCATATTCAGGGATTTTCCTCCTGTTAGAGGAAGACGGTAGATCGGGGCAGTACGCGCCCCACTCTCCTTCCTCTCCACTTCTCGCTCCTCTCCTTCCCCTCTCTCCCAGATAGATGCCAATACAGTCAATCATCTGCCACACTTTCTACACTATCTAACACCTCCAATACTCAATAGCTTTAAGCCGAAGTAGTGGGCCTGTTATAGGAAAGCCGGCATCCTGATGTCGTTGCTGCCATTCAAAGAGAGCTTGGTCTAATATAGGCCAATGTGATGTCGATGAGCGCATATTTAGACTTGCTGGACCAGTATCAAGATGCTGGTATTTGGATGAAAGGATCTTTGAGACAGTGGCCCGATCAATAAGTCGACCAAATTGGGACCGAAACCACTCAACGCAGGCTCGCTGAGAAGGCGTAGGTTGTGTTTCGGATGCATAGACGCGTAGAGCCTGCTTCTGAGCGTCAGGTATGCCCTTCCTGGCTCGCCTTGTGGTTGGCATTTTGGCCGAAAGTGCGACTGAATTCTGCATTGTGATTGGTCGGTGTACTATGACTAAGTAAAATAGGAGAAAAAATGTGTGCTATAACTGAGATGTGCCATAAGTGGTCTTTTTATATGGTAAAAGGGGGAAAAGTGGGTCCGTCCACGAAAATTCGGTGCTATAACCCGATGTGTGCTATTTCTGGGCGTGCCATAAGCGAGAGTTGACTGTAGTCTCCGACTCCAGCCAATTTCAAAGTCATAAACTTTGGGCGCAGTTCGGGCCAATCGTGGCGACCCACCGATTTTTCGATTATTCAACAGTCCAGACGCCCCGTCCCCGATGAGTAAAGCAACGCCGTCACGTCCTTTTCGCGCTCTTGGATTATCCATTACATCACTGCATGTCTTCAAGATAAAGAAATGGCCCCAAAAGCAATACACGATGGTCGAAGCAATGCTGACGCACCCGCGCCTCGCAAGAGAGGCCGGCCACGAACTGGGACGGACGATCAGCAAGTTCCCGAGGTGGGTACATCCCGAGCAACTGCAGAGCAACTTGGGAACTGACTCAAGGAATCCAGAGACGTCGAACGCAGCTTCGCGTCGCGCAGGAAGCATATCGAAAGAGAAAAGAGACCGCGATCGTCAATCTGCAATCTCGCGTACAGGAACTCGAGTCGGGCATCGAAGAGTTCAGCGAGTCGTTCCTTTCGTTCAGTGCTCTTCTGTTCGAGGTTGGGATTCTCCAAAATCAGCCTCGTGTCACGGCTGCTCTGCAAAAAATTACACAGCACTGCGTGTCGCTTGCCAAAAGTGGCTGCGACGAGGCCGAACAAGCACCTGCAGCGCCGGCGGACGAATCGCCACCGACGACTCCCACGGTCAGCGATACACGAGATATAATCTCAAATGACAATCCGCTCATAACGCAACTTGGTTCACTGCCAATAATCGGTGACGCTTTCCAGTCCACGTCGGACCTCGCGGCTCAATGGCCTGGGCTATCACAACTACCCCCTACGCCACCCTTCCAACAACAAGCAATTCTACCGTTCGGAATAGACTTGTCATTTCCGAATATTCCCTTCTCATCTACCCCTAGTCCCGCCTTGAATTTCCCGACCATAGTATCGCCCGATAATCTCCTAAAGCAAGGGCGCTGGACACTCTCACACCGTTTGGTCCGACAATGCGGCGAGACTGTATACTATTTATTAACAAGCTCATTTAGAGACGATCCAAGGGTCAAAGCAATCTTCGGCAAACGATTGACCATCGACGAGCGCAACCGCTTCATCTCCGGATTCGTCGATTTCATGCACGACGAAAAAGGAGACACGATCGAGTTCAGGACAAAAGTTCTCAATTCAAGGAGGAACAGCTACTCGCCTGAACAGCTCGCCGTTTCCTCTCGAACGTGGCAAATTGTCAATGAATCGGGTGCTGATGAGTGGATGGATGCGAGTGGTGTGCAAAGGCTGCTACAGCAGCGAGGGATTCGTATTCAGGACCCGAGCTCGCCCCTCTCCGGTCCCCGGTTCAATTCGGCTCCGCAGCTCAACGTAGCGAGCTTCATTAAATGTGAGTAATGCCGAGATCCAGTGGATGTTTGTGTCTTCTTGTCCATGTATTTACTGACCTTGTTGTAGATCTTTCCCTCGAGGCTATCTGTCTCGGGCGCGGACCAGCGTTCCGAAAGCGCGATGTTGAGAATGCTATTCGCCTTGCAACTCTTGATGATCCGTGGGCGTTTAACGCTGTGTGCGAAATACCATAAATTATGTATAATAACAATAATTGTCTACAATAGATATAATCTCCGCTTACTTTGCACATTACCTTTTCTTCCTCATTACCTTCTCTGTCTGCGCTTTACCCCTGCTGCGCTTCCCTAGTACCCGGGAAAAAAGGGGCATGGTGGTTGTGTATGCTAGCAGTAACGGGAAACTACTTCTTTGAAGTAGTGGGCCGTAGCATCATGGTGGTGACCAGAAGGCGCTACAACGGGTATGTTTCCAGCTCGTACCTGGGCCATATCTGTGTGGTATCGCCAACATACTCAACTAGCAAGGCTTGCGGAGACCCTGTGATGGCTCGAGAGGACGGATGCGCATGTCGGTTGGCCTAGAGAGGGAGAGTATTATGCCTGACTCGTACTCAGGTCCCTAGGAGCCTCCTGGCGCGGTATCACCCTTAATACTATCGCCCTTGCGGCTAGCTTAAGGTGCAAACTCCAGAGATGTTTGCAGCAGCAGAACCCTTTGGGCCGGGGTTCTGCCAATAGGGACGGGTAATCATTATCTGAGCAGGAAGTGCCAGGTAGAAGATGGTTATGGAATCGACGAGAATTTGTTAAGGCTTTGCCACAGGCGATCGCGAGTCGCCCAACCCCTGTTGTCTCTGGCGCCCGGCGCCCACAAAGGCCGTTTTTGCCGTGCATGAGAGACCACGGCGTGCTGCGAGCGCAGTGTTGATCCAGATGCACACTGGTCGGATTGCTCTTCGAGAGTACCTGGCTACGCTACAACAGTGGCGCGAGGAGCAGCTGGATATCAATCCCTGCGTCCGCCGCAGACCTGCTCTTGTGAGCAAGGCAAGCAGGATGTGGCACACGTTCTCTACTACTGCCCTCGATTCGCAGCTCT